CTGAAACCGGTTTGGCTCAGTGAATTGAGCGTCAGTCAGCAGACTGAAGAGTCCCAGGTTCGATTCCGGTCAAGGGCATGTACCTTGGTTGCGGGCACATCTCCGGTAGGGGGTGTGCAAGAGGCAGCTGGCTGATGTTTCTCTCTCATCGACATTTCTAACTCTCTGTCCCTCTCAATTTCTCTCTGTGTAAAATCAATAAAATGTATTTAAAAATTAAAAAAAAATGATAATAACTTTGGGCCCTGGCCAGTGTTAGACCAACATCCCATGCATCTAAGGGTAATGGACACAATTTCCTGTAAAGGCGCATGCCTGAGGCAACCAATCGGAGTTTCTTTCTTTCTCTCCCTCTCCCTTTCTCCCTCTCTTGAATCAATGAAGACCATATCCTCAGGTGAGGATAAAAAAATAACTTTTGCATTATCCATGTTTACATGTTTAAAATAAAATTGAGTGTAGTTTGCCGGGACCGGTTCGGCTCAGTGGATAGAGCGTCGCCTGCGGACTGAAAGGTCCCAGGTTCTATTCCGGTCAAGGGCATGTACCTTGGTTGCAGGCACATCCCCTATGGGGGGTGTGCAGGAGGCAGCTGGTCGATGTTTCTCTCTCATCGATGTTTCTAGCTCTATATCCCTTCTATCCCTCTCCCTTCCTCTCTGTAAAAAATCAATAAAATATATATATATTTTTTAATTAAAAAAAAGAATTTATGTTTTAAAAGTACTATGTATAGTATCCTCAAAGTGAAATGCTTGAGTATAAATTCAGCAGAAGATATAAGACTATATGCTGAAAGCCATAGAACATTAATAGAAAAATGAAAGACCCAAATAAGTGAAGATATATACACAGTATTGATGGATTGGAAGACTAAATGATGTCCTGCTGTCAGTTTTCTCCAAATTGATGTATAGATTCAATGTACTCCAATAAAAAATCCAGCAAGATTTTAAAGTAAATATTGCTAGCATATTTTAACATTTTGTAGTAAGGCAAAAGAACTAATGTAGCCAAAACAAATACTTTCCTGTATTTGTTTCTATGTATTTTGAGAAAGAATAGTTAAGGAACTCACTACCTGATTAAAACAGCTTACTATAAACCTGGAGCAATTAAGATAGTATGATGTTGTTGAAAGGATAAATACATAAATAAATTAAAATAAAGTAGACATATCCACACAAATAAAGTAAATGGATTTTTAAAAATAAATCTTTTGTTGAGAGTATTACAGATGTTTATTTGATACCACAATAATACTCCCTCCCCCATTGTCACCCTCTACCCGGTTCCTGCCCCACCTCAGGCCCATAGGTAATGCATATATGAATATAAGTTTGTTGTTTAATCCTCTTCCCAACTCCCCCTCCTTCCCTCTGAGGTTTTTCAGTTTGTTCCATGTTTCCATGCTTCTGATTCTATTTTATTCATTGGTTTATTTTGTTCATTAGATTCCTTGTTTGTTCATTTGGATTTTTAGATTCAATTGTTGATAGACGTATATTTGGGGCCATGTTATTGTTCATATTTTTTATCTCTTCTTCTTTTTCTTTTTCCTCTTTTTCTTCCTCTTCCTCTTCCACTTCTCAGAGAATATCCTTCAACATTTCATGTAATACTGGTTTGGTGGTGATGAACTTCTTTATCTTTTTCTTATCTGTGAAGCGCCTTATCTAACCTTCAATAATAAATGATAGCTTTGCTGGGTAGAGTAATCTTGGTTGTAGGTCCTTGTTATTCATAATTTTGAATATTTCTTGCTACTCCCTTCTGGCCATCAGAGTTTCTGTTGAGAAATCAGATGACAGTGGTATGGGTGCGCCCTTGTAGGCAAATAATTGTAATAGGTTTTCTTTTTTTTATTTTTAATATATTTTATTGATTTTTTTACAGAGAGGAAGGGAGAAGGACAGAGAGTTAGAAACATCGATGAGATGCCCTTGACTGGAGTCGAACCTGGGACCTTTCAGTTCTCAGACCGACGCTCTACCACTGAGTCAAACCGGTCTTGGCAAGGATTATTTTTTTATTATACCTTTTAATCCACATTAAAAAAACACAATACATAAAGCACATGATTTCACGATATCACTAAGATGAAAATTAAAGTACATGATGTTAAACTTAAGACAAACTGAAGAAAAATATGAAGTGGTACAGGAGGGCAATTTGGAAGTATCTATAAAAAGCCTATAACTCAATTCAACTTCTAGGCATCTGTCACAGGTAAATTTTCACACACAATGCTCCTTTTGTTAATATCAAAACCAGAAAATAGTCTTACTGTCACAAAGGTGTTGAAGAAAAGATGAGGACAAAGTGGCCTTAGCTTCCATAGAGTAATGAAAGAATGAGTGCATTTTTATTTCTTCCTTAAAGTCACAATTGAAATTACATACATGGATCAGCAACTGGGGTGGACTCAATTTCAAGACTGATTTACTGTTCATAAACTGCCAATTTATTTTTTGCTTGACTAAAGAATGCCAATCTTTTTTGGGAGTCTGATCTGCTTTTCATATAAGAAAATGCTTTTCACATTCCAAATTGTTTGAATTAAACTTTTTGAATAAAAAACAGACATGGAAAAAAAAAAAAAAAAAAAAAAAAAGAAACATCGATGAGAGAGAAACATCTATCAGCTGCCTCCTGCACCCCCCCCCCATAGGGGATGTGCCCACAACCAAGGTACATACCCTTGACCAGAATCAAACCTGGGACCTTTCAGTCCTCAGGCTGACACTCTATCCACTGAACCAAATCGGTTTCGGCTGCAATAGGTTTTCAATATCTTGATCTTTCTTCTTCTTCTGGCACCTCCATGATGTGAATGTTAGTACTCTTGAAGTTGTCCCAGAGGCTTCTTACATTATCTTCATATTTTTGGTTTCTTTTTTCTTTTTGCTCTTCTGATTGGATGCTTTTTGCTTCCTCATACTTCAAATCCCTGATTTGATTCTCAATTTAAAAATCCATTTACTTTATTTGTGTGGATATGTCTACTTTATTTTAATTTATTTATGTATTTATCCTTTCAACAACATCATACTATCTTAATTGCTCCAGGTTTATAGTAAGCCTTACTACTATTTGCCTTACTACTATCCTTTCCTCTACTGTTGAATCCCTATAAAGTACGTACTCTTTATTTCATTTAGTGAATGCTTTATTTTCTGACTGTCCTTGATGCCCTTGATGTTCTCACTAAGGTTCTTGAAATTCTCATTAAGCTCCTAAGAAACACTGTTTTGAACCTGTGTTTAATAGTTTGTTTGCTTCAGCCGAAGCCGGCTTGGCTCAGTGGTAGAGCGTCGGTCTGCGGACTGAAAGGTCCCAGGTTCGATTCCGGTCAGGGGCATGTACCTTGGTTGCAGGCACATCCCCGGTAGGGGGTGTGCAGGAGGCAGCTGGTCGATGTTTCTCTCTCATTGGCATTTCTAGCTCTCTATCCCCCTCTCCTCCTCTCTATAAAAAATCAATGCCCGCAACCAAGGTACATGCCCTTTACCGGAATCGAACCTGGGACCTTTCAGTCTGCAGACCGACGCTCTACCACTGAGCCAAGCCGGCTTCGGCCAATAAAATATATTTTTTTAAAAATAGTTTGTTTGCTTCTATTTCATTCAGTTCTTTTTCTGGAGATTTTTTCTGTTCTTTCATTTGTGACATGTTTGTGTCTACATTTTGGCTGCTTTCCTGTATTTGTTTCTCTGTATTAGGTAGAACTACTATGTCTCCTGGAATTGGTAGAGTGGCCTGTAGGGCCCAGTGGTTTGGCCTCTCCAGTCACCACTGTATGAGTTGTGTGCACAGTCTTGCTGTAGTTGAGCCTTGATTACTGTTGATATCACTGGGAGAAATTGACCTTCAGGCCAATTGGCCATAAGGACCAGCTGCAACAGCTTCTATGGAGCAGGACTTGCTTCAATGGGGCTTTAGTGTTCACTGAGTTTGCCCCTTGAGTGTGCTCTCGTGAATATGTAGAGTTGTAATCTGGTGTGGTCTGAAGTTGTCCACTAGGTGCACTGGCTTTGGGGCCTCCCAGAAGATGTAAAGTCAGCAACTACAGAGGAGCTACAGAGCGATCTGCAATTGCTGCTACTTATGTTGGGTTTGAAAGTGCCCAGGAGAGGCCAGGCTGTGAAGCAAAGGCAGGCTGCTACTAGTGCCAGGTCTTGGGTTTCTTATTAAGAGTTGGGGCACACTGATGCTGGCTGCTGCTTGTTAGAAGGATTTTAGGAAAGTCTGAAGCCTGTGCCAGAACAGGCCATTCATATGGAAAAGCCACTGCAAACAGCTTGGGTGGGGTTGCAAATTGGGTGGGGTGAGGTCCGGGAATCACCAGGGCAGAGTAAACAGTGTGACCCAGACTAATAAAAAACTTAGATATGGCTCCTGCCAGTCAGCTCTAAATGGGGGAAGGGCTTAGCATAGGAACAATGAACTCTGTGATCACCCCAGTCTGGGAGAAATCTGCCCCTGTGTCCTTGCTCCATGACAGACAATCCAGTTCTTCCTCATATATTCCTGGATGCCCCCAAGCTGCTGCCCTAGTGTTGGAGCTCAGAGGGAGCAATTCTAAGTATATTCATGTGCCAGCCTCTTAAGAGGAACTGCTGGGGCTCTGGCAGCCTCTGTGTCACTCAGCCACAATGCCTCATAGCTCATAGTTTTTACAGCCTGGTTATCTATCTGTAAGACCCTTCATCTTTTTTAAAAAAAGTTCTTTATTAGTCATTTAATATAAAATTTGCACAATCACTACAGATAAAGTCCCTAAATAATCTTTACTCCTTCTGTTGTCCAATCTAGATTACTCAAAGATAAACCTGCCTTTTACTTTCTAAAGCTAATTTGGTACATTTTTGTTACATAGTTATTATTTTTTAAATATTCTTTAAAAATAATGTTTATGTCCTTTTTGACATGATAGTTTATAAATGCTCTTGTCCACATTTAATCTGTTAATGTACAATGGTTCTTCTTTGTTTTCTTAGGCACGAGATGTGCGTACCAATGAAGTGGTGGCTATCAAAAAAATGTCTTATAGTGGAAAACAGTCTACTGAGGTAGGTGGTGAAATATATACATTTGTACTGGTATGTTAGAGAAAGGTATGCTATTTTTAATTGTGAATAGGTGGCAATTTCTTCCAAAAAGTATAACGTACATAAAGAAAAGTGTACAGATATTAAGTGTATATCTCAGTAAATTTTCTTTCATACACTGAATGTACCCATTTAACTTGGACCTAGAACCATAAATAGCATTACTGTCCTCCCAAAAGCCTCCCAATCTATGGCCCCTGCTTTCAGTTTTTTAAACTGTTACTTAATATATTATTTTATCTTTGTCATCGAGATTATCAATTTCTAAAATAGTAAACTAGAATAAGATATATTTCACAGTAAATATATTCGATACAATTTTTTAATAGTTTAGAGATTAACTGCAGCTTTAAACAAACTTTAAGTAACAGACTGTATAGATGTAGTCTGAAAAACAGGTGGTGTGTAATAATCTGAAAAACTAAAATATAAAATTATTGATACCACATTGACTATGTGTTAGTTCACTAATATTCTGATTAGTTCTTTTGACATTATATTTATTCTATTTAATTGCATAAATTTATTTTATAAAATGCAGGATGTGTCAGTATTTAAAAATTTTTTTACATTATGGCAAAATATACAAAATTTACCAGTAAGTCATTCTTAAGTGTTCAGTGTCATTAAAGATAGTCATATTGCTATCTAAATACCACCACCATTTATCTCCAGAAATCTTTTCATTTCATCTTGCAAAATTGAAGCTCTGTACTTATTACATAACTAGTGGCCCGGTGCACAAAATTCGTGCATGGGGTGGGGTGTCCTCAGCCCGGCCTGCACCCTCTCCAATCTGGAACCCCTCAGGGGATAACTGGCAGTCAGACATCCCTCTCACAATCCAGAATTGCTGGCTCCAGAGCTCCAGTGGCGCAGTCGGTTAGCGCACGGTACTTATACAGAATTGCTGGCTCCTAACTGCTCTCCTGCCTGCCTCATTGCCCCTAACAACTTCTGTATGCGAGCTTGATTGTCCCTAACTGCTCCCCTCTGGCTTGATTGCCCTTAACCACCTCTTCCTCTGCCCCTCCTCCAGCCAACCACAGGCATTGACCAGGCTTCCCTCCTTCTGGTCAGCCATAGGTGCCCAGGCTGGCTGCAGCCGCAGGGGATGGTGGGCAGGTGGCTTCTCCTGGGCTGCAGCTGCAAGTTCTGGTGCCCAGGACTGCAGGGTGGGTGGCTTCTCTGTCTACTAGGCTGTAGCCAGCCATGGGTGCTGATGCCTGAACCATAGGAGGGTGACTTCTCTGTCTTCCCTGGGATGCAGTGTGGGTGACTTATCTGGCTGGCTGCGGCCTGGAATCATGGGGCAGGCGGTTTTTTCGTCTCCCTGGCCACACTCAGCCTCAGGTGCTGGGGCCCAGTTTCTCCATCTTCCTCAGGAGTGGGGTAGGCAGACAGGAGGTTTCTGCTGCTATCTATGGCCTGGGATTAGGGGGAGGCCACTTCTTCATCTCCCAGGCTGCAGCCAGCCACAGGCGCTGGTGCCTGGCTTCTCTGACGCCCCATAGGTCTGGAGGAGTGGGGCATGTTTTCAGTTTAATTTGCATACTCACTCTGATTGGCTGGTAGCCGAAGTAGAGTGATGGTAATTTGCATGTTTCTCTTTTATTCCTGTTTTCTCCCCCCTCCAGTGCTTGAAAATCACCATTCTAGAATCTATATGAATTGGACTAGCTTAGGTTAACTCCTATAAGTGAATCCTTTTTACTTAACATAATGCCCTCAAAGCTTGTCCATGTTTTAGTGTATGTTAGAATTTCCTCCCTGTTTAAAGCTAAATATTCCTGTGGTGTGTGTGTGTTTGTATATAAAACATCACATTTTGTTTATCCATTCATCTGTTGATGGACATGGGTTCCTCCATCCCTTGGTTATTGTGAATGATGCTGCTCTGAACATGGGTATGCAAATATTTCTTTGAGTTTCTGCTTTTCAATACTTTTGGGTTTGTGCTCAGAGGTAGAATTTCTGAATCAGTCTTTAATTTTTAATGATTTTGGTTTTCTACCGTTTCTGAATCTCTTCATTTTATACTAAATCTTGTTTTTGTGACAATACTCTGGGTATAATGACACTATTATGATTATTTCAGTGTTCCATCATTTTGATTCCTAAAAATTCCTAAAACTCCAAAACAATCCCACTTCCATTGCTTACAAGTTTACTCTAACTTTATTTTTTCACACTTAAATATTTTTATTTATTTAATGTTCACTATTAGTGTCCTTTATAAAAGTATTTTTTTTTACATTGAAGAGTGCAGTTGTTTTGTTTTGAGAGGTTGCCTCCCAGAGCATTCAAATTTGAAAGTTGAAGCCCATGAAACTCTTTCTGAATTTTGCATCTTATATGTTAAAATATTGTGCTGCTATTTTGCTGTATTTTATTGAGGACTTGTTAAATAACATAGGAGATATATGACCTTAAATTCAGTACAAAATATTTCCTAAAGTTTTCTATTATATGAGTTTCTCTGACTTTAGAAATATGATCCAAGTTGGGGGTAAAGCTTTAAAAAAATTAAAACAAGAACAAGAAATAGATTCCTGCTTCCCAATCCTACACCTACTAAGTCTGTAGACCAAAGAACCTGGTTGGTCCTTAGAGTTCCCTGATTGCTTCTTAAGAGTTACTTTGTTTAAAATAAGGCCTAAGTATATTGTTATGGTCAATGGTTTATCTGTATTGCTGGGTAGGTGTTAATGAAGAAAGCTCTTAGTAAAATATGTAGGAAAATGTTTTCATACTGTTTGTTTTCTTCTGTGAACTTTTCTATGTAATAACTAATTGTTCATTAGCATTTTAGAAAGTAATGTGCATTTATGAATTTGTCTCAGAGTTATGACTTCATTTGAGTTTAAAAAAACAAACAAATCCAAAGCCAGTTTGGCTCAGTGGATAGAGCGTTGACCTGAGGACTGAAAGGTCCCAGGTTTGATTCCCGTCAAGGGCATGTTCCTTGGTTGTGGGCACATCCCCAGTAGGGGCTGTGCAGGAGGCAGCTGATCGATGTCTCTCTCATTGATGTTTCTAACTCTCTATTCCACTACCTTCCTCTTTGTAAAAAATCAATAAAAATATATATATATTTTAAAATATTAACATTCGTTAGAAGATATAAGCCAGAAACATGATAGGTGAACTTTATGGTATGTAGATTATGTCAGTAAAGCTGCAGATAAGAAAAGGGAAGTTGAATTTTGATGAAAAATAAATAATTATGGTACATAGATTTCACCACTTTGTGGTGTGTGGTGGTAAAATATTAATAAGACTCGATGATAAATTTTATCAAACATTTGTCCTACCTTGAATAAAATAATTTTATAAATTATTTAATTTATTATAAAGTATGAAATTAATTCCTCTTAAATGGATTATTTTGACATTTAATTTAAATATTACAAATATGGCAAAGCTATATGCTCTCATTAATCCTTAATCTAGTAATTACTTTTTTCTTATATACATTTCTAAGGAAAATCAGCTGTTCATAATTCTTTCCTTTATTCCCTTTTTTTCTCCCCATAGAAATGGCAGGATATTATTAAAGAAGTCAAGTTTCTACAAAGAATAAAACATCCCAACAGTATAGAATATAAAGGCTGCTATTTACGTGAGCACACAGCTTGGGTAGGTATCTGCTCTCCCTTTGCCTTAATTTTATTTGGTTTGCACATATAATTAATTAAATTAAGGATGTCTTGCCCTGGCTGGTGTCTTTTAGTGGATAGAGCCTCAGCCTGCATACCTAAGGGTCTTGGATTCCATTACTGGTCAAGGGCTGCACGTACCTGGGTTGCATTCCCTGTCCTGTTGGGTCATGTGCCGGAGGCAACCAATTGATGTGTCTCTCACTCCGTGTTTCTTTCCCAAACTCCTTCCCTCTCTCCCTTCTACTCTCTCTAAAAATCAATGGAAAAACATATCTTTGGGTGAGAATTAACCTAAAAAATTAAAAAATGTCTCAAAATTGTCCTGTGAAGCTTGCAAAAACACTTTGAAATGTTATTTCATACTGAGAAAGGAAGAGTAGCTTTTCCTAGAACTCCTTTCCCTAGGAAATAAGAACTTTTGCAAGTTCACTATAGAGATTTATTTATTTATTTATTTATTTATTTATTTATTTTTATTAAATTATTATCTGTGTACAAATTTTAACATTGCTCCCCCCTCCCATACCTACCCTCCCCCCCAGAGTTTTGTGTCCATTGGTTGTACTTATAATATATGCATGTATACAAGTCCTTCGGTTGATCTCTTATCTCTCCCAGCACTATAGAGATTTAGCTGGCCTTTATATGCATGGTAAAATGTTCTCTGAAAATTTTTTAGTAGTTTGTCAGACTACTAAATGGTTTCTCATTGTAAAAACAATTTTATTACTAAAGGATGAAAGTTATATCTTTTTGACATGATGTATTATAATCTATTTAATCACAAAGTACTTGGTGAAGTGTTGATGAATCCTGGTGAAATTTGAATTAATTGTGATTACTTGGCTGAGTACTATTAAAGATAGAGAATTGAGACACTTTATTACCTGAATTAGAGATTAATTTTACCCTTTTGTTACCACTGAGGCGATAATGCAGTAATCTCATAATGGTATAGGCATAATAACTATCTTTTAAGAAAAGGGCTAAATTTTCATTAAACAGGTATGATCCTTTATTTTGAATGATTAATAAGCTAGAGCTATTATCATTCTAGTGGATTGAAGTTAGATTTAGATTTGTAATGTTTGCTGCATTTTTATCCAGTTTTATTTTGGTGATGGATGTGGTAGTACTCCTAAACTTGAAGCTGTTGTTAAAGAAAAAGTAGTGACATTGGGCTGGTTACTTCTCTGTCTCTCAGATTTTTCCATCTGTAAAGCATGGAAATAATAAGGCCTACCTCATAAAGTGGTTGTGAGGATTAAATTAATTAATATGTATAAAATACCTGGCACATTAGGAGGTGCTCTGTGTTTGCTTTCAATGAAAAATTTAAACTGTAACCCTAAATCTGGCCGGTATGGCACAATAGTTGAACACTGACCCATCAGCCAGGATGTTATTGATTTGATTTCCAGTCATGTCTGGGCTCAATACCCATTGGGGGACATGCAGGAGGCCAGCCAATCAATGATTTTCTTTAATCATTGATACTTCCATATCTCCCTTCCTCTCTCTCTAAAATCAGTAAAAACATACATTCTTAAAAAGTTTAAAAATAAACTGTAATCTAAGCTTTGTACATATAGTCCCAGAGGACAGTTTTCTGTTACCTAACAATCATTATTACTACTCTAGGTTAATAGTAACAGAATATGTATCTTATAATTTTAGTTGGTAATTATGTATGAAATACATATCTTGTCATTTACTTAACCTTATAAATACATTTAACAAATTGCTAACTGCATAAATGTTTTTTAAGGTAAATAATGACTAGAGTTTGTTTTATTTCAAACTATCTTCTTGATCTCCTTGGTGAATTTATTTTATATAAAATAGTCTTTTTAATAATACATTTTAATATTTTTCTAATTTTTCTTCCCATATAGCTTGTAATGGAATATTGTTTAGGATCTGCTTCAGATTTACTGGAAGGTAGGTTTCCTTTAAATATTAAGAAAAAAAAGTATTAGCAAAATAAAATAAGAATTCAGTAAGAGACTTCTTAAAAAAAACTTTTCAAAACAGTGAAAACCTTAACCTTTTTCTAGAATCTCAGCATGGTATACACCATCCTCATTTAATGTTATCTATAATAATAAAAGCATAATATGCTAATTAGACTGAACGTCCTTTCAGATGAAACCGGGGTTGCAAGGGAAGCCTGGGTCCCAGGTGCCAGGGGAAGCCAGTGCTGGCAGCCAGGGGAAGGAAGACCTACTCTTATATGAATTTCATGCATCAGGCCTCTAGTATAGTATAAAATAGATGAATTTTCTCTCATTTTGCTTCAGTAAGCATTTTTCTGCATTCTTTGTCATTCAGCTTAATCTGTTCCTCTGTACAGAATAAAAATATCTGAGAATAGCTAAAACTGGTTTGGCTCAGTGAATAGAGCATCTGCCTGCAGACTGAAAGGTCCCAGGTTTGGTTCCGGTCAAGGGCATGTACCTTGGTTGTAGGCACATCCCCAGTGCGGGTTGTGCAGGAGGCAGCTGATCAATGTTTCTCTCTCATCCATGTTTCTACCTCTCTGTCCCTCTCTCTTCCTCTTGTAAAACATCAATAAAATAGCCAAAGCCGGTTTGGCTCAGCAGTAGAGCGTCGGTCTGCAGACTGAAGGGTCCCAAGTTCGAATCCGGTCAGGGGCATGTACATTGGTTGCGGGCACGTCCCCGGTAGGGGGTGTGCAAGAGGCAGCTGGTCGATGTTTCTCTCTCATTGATGTTTCTAGCTCTCTAGCTCTCTCCCTCTCTGTAAAAAATCAATAAAATATATAGATATATTTTAAAATCAATAAAATGTTGTTTTTTTTAAAAAGAAAATATTTGAGAATAAAAGAAAAACTTCTCTTTTGTTACTTTTGTTTTTATTATCCTATCTAATAAAGAGGGAATGTGCTAATTGACGGTCACACCCTCACAAAGATGGTAAGGAGGGAATATGCTAATTGACTGCCACACCCTCAAAGATGGCGGCACTCACAGCCACAATATTGCAGCGCCTAGTCCACTCAGCCCCATCAGGGTGGCAGGTGCATGGCATGGCCAGGCCTACACTCAGATAGGTCCAATCGCTCTGTGCGCCTGCCTCCAGAATCCTTCAGTCCCCGGGCCACCCAAGGCTCAGGTAAGCAGGGCCAGCCCAGGCTTGCACTGCTGGCAGTGGCAGCAACAGAGGTGTGATGAGGGCGTCACCTTGCCCTGATTGCTGAGTCGCCTCCTGCCCCTGAGGGCTCCCAGGCTGTGAGAGGGGGCAAGTAGGGCTGAGGGATGCCCCCTCCAGTTCATGAATTTTCAGACACCGTGCCTCTAGTCACCAAATAATCATTAAATGTTGTTAGCTTTGAGGAATGTTGGTTGTAACCTCTACTTTAACAGCAAGGCACGATTGGTACTAGTTAAAACATTCAGTAGCCTTGTATTACTAGTATATCTTGTATTAGTATCCCTTGTTGCTAAATGTTAAGTGTTTTTAAATTGCTCTCTCTATATCAGATATGTATATTTATTATTTTTAAATGTTCTATATATAATAATTATTTTTAAATTCTTACTTTAAGTTCACAAAAAGCCATTACAAGAAGTGGAAATAGCAGCAATTACACACGGTGCTCTCCAGGGACTAGCCTACTTGCATTCGCATACTATGATCCATAGGTAAGTACATTGAAAATTGTCGTGTATTAATCAGCAAATGGTTTGTTGCTTTTATCAACCCTGGAACTCATTAACCCTGAAATATTCATTGTTAAAGCACTTCAGTATCTTATAAACTCATAATTTTTAGATTGTCCGTACCTTAAAAAGAATGTACTAGTACACTTGATCTCTTTGTTTAGGATAATGTTATCTTTTCTGCACATGCTGCTGGGCTTTCTGAAGCATGTGTACTTGATAGATTTGAGGTAGCAATTTAATTACAGAATTATTTAATTTACAAAATGGAAAAGGCCATTAAGGATTATATAGTCCTTTTTAATTTTACAGATGAAGAAACTGATGCCCCAATTTGTTACTAATTTCTCCAAGTTTAAAAAGCTTGGGTAGCCGAAACCGGTTTGGCTCAGTGGATAGAGCATCAGCCTGTGGACTGAAGGGTCCCGGGTTCAATTCCAGTCAAGGGCATGTATATACATTGCTTGCAGGCACATCCCCAGTAGGGGGTGTGCAAGAGGCAGCTGATTGATGATTCTCTCTCAACAATGTTTCCAACTCTCTATCCCTCTCTCTTCCTCTCTATAAAAAATCAATAAAATATATTAAAAAAAAAAAAAAAAGCTTAGGTATTATAAAGTACTAGAACTAAACCTAGATATTTTTCTTCCTGATAACTGATAATGCCAGATTTGCTCCGTTAATTTTATAACAGAGATATATATAAGTTACTTAAGCCGGGCCAGTGTAGTTCAGTGGTTGAACGTGAATCTATGAACCAGGAGGTCATAGTTCGATTCTTGGTCAGGGCATATGCCCCGGTTTTGGGCTCGATCCCCAGTAGGGTCATGCAGGAGCCAGCCAATCAATTATTCTCTCCATCATTGATGTTTCTGTTTCTCTTTCCTCTCCTCTCCGAAATTAATAAAAGTATATATATATTTTTAAAGCTACTTAAGCCCTAGCTGGTTTTGCTCAATGGATAGAGCATCGGTCTGCAGACCAAAGGATCCTGGGTTCTATTCCTATCAAGGACCCTGGTCAGGACATGTGCAGGAGGCAACCAATTGATGTGTTTCTCTCTCATCAATGTTTCTGTCTTTCCCTCTCTCTTCCACTCTCTAAAAAAAAATCACTGGAAAAATATCATTGAGTGAGGATTAACAAAAATAAATAAATAAATAAATGGCTACTTAAGACTCTATGCTTTTGAGTATTAATCTGTAGCAATCCATGGTGATAGATAGTAACTTTAAACCATTTTATAATGCATATTTAGCATTGGTATTGACTTTGCCTGGTTTAGAAGAAAATTAACATTTTTTTAAATTTATATGTAAATTAGGCAATACATATTAAAGTAAGTAGTAGAGTCATTGTGAGTTAACGGGTTGTCATTTTTTTGATGAAAATAGTAGAGAAACACATGCTAGAAAGTATACGAAAAACGTAAAATTAGAACCTAAGATCTTCTCAATTTCAAAGCATCTCTCCTTTTTAATTTTTTAATACATGTTTATTGATTTCAGAAAGGCAGAGAGAGAGAGAGAGAAATAGGAAGAGAGGGAATCATTGATTGGCTGTTGCTTCCACGCCCCACACAGAATCGAGTCCGCAGCCTAGGCATGTGCCCTGATAGGGAATCAAACTAACCTGGTTCATAGGTTGCCGCTCAACCACTGAGCCACCACGGACGGACACCTCTCCATTTTAAAAAACAAGTGGGAGGACAATAGATTTAGTATTATATCCATCACAATACTATAGTAAGAATTGACAAGGGCTTAGAAATAAAGTTTTTCTTTTCTTGAATGGTTAAGTGTATATTATGGCACCCATTGAACATAAAATTCCATTATATAAATAACCTTCATTTTTTTAGTTTGTGTGGAGAGTTTGTTTGCTGATTTAGAAAAGTAAGCTTGAAAGTAAATTTGAAATCATTAGTCTAATAATCCTATTAGTCTATATTTTCCTTATACATCATTTTTAATTTCATATTGTTAGATGGATTATGCTAAGCTTTGTAAATGATATGAATAATCCTTTTGTAGAAATTGGGGGCATATTTGCAGCAACATGGATGGATCTAGAGCAGGGGTGGGGAATGTCTGGCCCATTGGCTATATAAGGTTCATGAAATCATTTGGTCTGGCCTTGCCAAGGCATTAAGGGTCAATTAAATGTTTGACCAAATTTAGCAGGCTAATTTTTAAGTTGATAATTTTGTATGGCCCTTGTTATAAATATCGAAATGGCCCTTGGCAGATAAAAGGGTTCCCTACCTCTGGTGTAGAGGCTACTATGCTAAGTGATATAAATTAAGCAGAGAAAGAAATACTGTATATTTTCACTTATATGTGGAATCTAAAACAGAAACCGTCATTGGGATGATTACCAGAAGGGAATGAGTGGAAGGATGGCTGAAAAGGGGGAAAAGGACTATAATCAATAACATTGTGATAAGTTTGCACAGTGGCAGATGATTACTACAGTTAGTCAGGTGATCACATTGTAAAGTATAAAAATGTCAAACCACTATATTGTACACCTGAAACTAATAAACCAATATAAGACTGTATACCACTATACTTAAATTTAAAAAATTTTAAGTTAAATAATGAAAAATTGGGCATGATATTTAATTGTTCATAATATTTTACATTAAGTGGGATACTCTGAAATCTTATATTTATGAAGAAATGGCCAGCTAATTAAATTCTACTTTTAAAACCATTATTTGTACAAGTAAATAGGAACTCAGATATAGTTTATATGCTCCAGTTGTTTGATTTTCTACCTTTTCTTTTTACTGCTATTTTGTCTTCTTTTAGAAAATTGTTCCTATATATTTATATTAATTTTATATTTTTTTGTTTTCTAATTTAGATCTTAATCCTTACTATTCCAATTGAAAGAGTATTCTAGAACTTATTTTTATTTTTTCTTCTTAACTTTACAAATTTTTGTTTGAATTTTATTGTTTTCAACACAATCTAATGAAAGAAGAAGAAATAATTTTCTGTGTTCCTTAAACCCAGAGATATCAAAGCAGGAAATATTCTCCTGACAGAACCAGGCCAGGTGAAACTTGCTGACTTTGGATCTGCTTCCATGGCATCTCCTGCCAATTCTTTTGTGGGAACGCCATATTGGTAAGACTAATCCTATCTGATATTGATTCTCGTAAATGAAATAAGTAATGTGTGGTTGTACTTTTTTCAGTTGTCTTTTTCCTGGAAATGTAATGCTATTTTGAATGTTTTAATTTTAAGCATTATAGGTAGTTTCAAATATAGATTTGGAGTGCTACCCTTGCATTTCCTATTTTTACTTGTGGTCCACATTTTCTTTCATATTATTATCTGCTTCCTATGTTGGTTGTGGAAGTGAAAAAATTTCAATAAAAATTGAAGTGGGGAGTAGATAGAAATGTTAAGAGGAAAATTGTGATTTCTTTAGGTTTATATTTAACTATATATCCATGATCTTCAGACTAAGATACCTCAAGACTGGTAGCTAATTTGGAGTTTTGGGTGTTGTTTTTTATATGTTATAGAGAATTTAAATTACACATAAAAGTCAACAAGAGTGCCTTAGCTGGGTAGCTCAGTTGGTTAGAGCATCGTCCCCATGTGCTAGGGTGTGGGTTCTGTCCTCAGGGCACCAATGAATGCATAAATGAGTCAACCAATGAATGCATAAACAAATGGAAAAATAAACTGATGTTTCCCTTTCCAATCAGTCACATAATAAAAGCAATTTAAAGTCAAGAGAGGTATAATAAATTCTCACATACCACTCACCCCAACAACATTATCCCATGGCCATTCCCAACTATGTATTCACTTCTCCCCCTTCTCCACCACTCAGTTATTTTGAAGCAAATTCTAGACAACATGTAATTTTAACCATAAATAATTCAGTATTAATGTCAGCAAGTTTGAAGGGAATAATTTTCACAGTCTGTCCATACATGTCCTATTTTTGGGTGTATGCAGACTATTTTCTTAGGTCCACTACATATTTTTTCCCATGGACCTTTCAAATCTCCTTTCTCCCACTTCATAAAAGAAAGGCTTCTTGCCCATTCTGAATATTATAATGATGCATTGCCCTGAGATATAAAAGCTTCAAAGCAACACCAGAGGGACAATTTCAGAATATAATCAAGAAACATTGAGGAATCAGGACACAAACTCTTGATAACGCCTGGTGCCTTTTTTATCATCTTATTTCTTTATTCCTTTTTTTTTTTCCCCTCCTCAGTTATCGTCTCTCCCTTCTTTTTTTCTTCTAGTTGTAGAATTCATAACCGAGATGGTTGTCATGGGGACACATTAACATGTTATTTGTATTGAAAAATGAAGTCAGATTTTTTTCTGACAGATGATTCTGATTCAACTGATTGATAGCATGAACACTGGCTTTGCTAATTAAGGTAGTGGTTTTGATAAATTGAATGAGCTAATTCTGCAGCTCCCAGTTTTAAAGACCTTTAAAACAGATATACAATGTACCTTATGTGTGTATGCTGCACATTATATCTTTTGAAAATATTAAATTATTAAAATTTAGGTATAAACTCAAATATGCAAGGGTATACTAGTTTTTATAATTTCACTGGAGGTAAATGAATAAAAAAATTTTGAAGACCACTGTTCCAGAAGACCAAAAATTTTTTGTGTGGACCCTAGTTTAGATAAGAGCCTCCCTCCCCTATATAAAACAAAGATTCTTTGAACAAATAATATTCCTTAATGGTTCTATTTAGAAATTAATGGTGAATATTAGATATTTTAAAAGCCCCGTAGTTCTCAATTTAAAAAAGATGTTTACTTTTGTTTAAACTTAGTAATTCCCCAAACTTACTTCAACATCTTAAAGAACACCTTGGAAACACCCAATTGTTGATAATTGAAAATTTACTTTATTTACATATTTGTTAATTTGAGGGTTTTTTTTGGGGGGGGGGGATTTTGTGTTGTTTTTTTTTAATATATTTTATTGATTTTTTTACAGAGAAGAAAGGAGAGGGATAGAGAGTCAGAAACATCGATGAGAGAGAGACATCGATCAGCTGCCTCCTGCACACCTCCTACTGGGGATGTGCCCGCAACCACGGTACATGCCCTTGACTGGAATCGAACCTGGGACCTTTAAGTCCACAGACCGACACTCTATCCACTGAGCCAAACCAGTCTTGGCAATTTGGTGTTTTTTTTTAAAGTTTTTCTTCATATTTGTTCATTTGTGTGTAGTGTATTTGGAAAACAGAAACTAGGCAATATTTACATGTCTTTGCGTGAGCATACACACAGGGGTTCCTGGTGACAAACACACTAAAGAAATTGGCAAGTGTTTTTAAGTGTCTGTCTGTGCTTAACTCCAAATGCAAGTAAAGTATAAGGTTAAAGTACCATAAAAAATGTTAGACTCAAAAAAAATGTTAGTCTCTAGTTGAAGATATAAATTAATATTTCATTTTATAACCAAGATACTTATAAGATTGATAATTGATTGTTTCAGTTGTGAGTCTCCCTAGACACTTTTTAAAATTTTTATTGATTTCAGAGGGAGGAAGGGAGAGGCAGAGATTAGAAACATCAATGATGAGAGAATCATTGATTGGCTGCCTCTTGCATGCTCCCTACTGGGTTTTGAGCATGCATTCCCAGATCTAACCAGAACCTCCTGTTTCCTGGGTCAACATTCAACCACTGAGCAACACCAGCCAGGCTAAGACATTTTATGACAGAACACTATTTTTATTTGAAAGAAAGAGTGACAGACTATAGTAATTAGTGTTGGTTATTTTGGCAAATATTTTCTTAAATAAATGGTGTGAGCTTGTAACTTCAAGAAAGATAATTGCCGGTATTTATTCCCTCTTTATAGCAAAAGTTAGATGTTTGTAATGGGATCTTGAGACCACCACTGGCCTAAAGGATATACAATATTAGAATCTGCGAGATTGAACAGATGCAGAATATAACCCCGCTCTATGGCATCCTTCCTTTAGGATGCTGTTATATATCATGACATATAGTAAAAATAAGTCTTAAACTATCTGTGCAATGGTAACTGTTTACCTCACAACCTGTAATGCATTCATTTCCCATTATAAAAATTCTTATATCTAAATATATTGCCTGCGCAGGTGTTCTCCATATAGATAGTCATTATATTTTAATGAATAGTATAAATTTTTTTAACTTTAAATGACATTTTCTATTTTAGGATGGCCCCGGAAGTCATTTTAGCCATGGACGAAGGACAGTATGATGGCAAAGTAGATGTATGGTCTCTTGGAATAACATGTATTGAACTAGGTAAGCATTCTTTTTTATAACTGTGCAGTAAGGTTTAATCAATGTCTTACCTCAATTTCTGTACCAAATTTTAGGTTTGGTTTTTATTTTGTCACTTACTAAAGGAAGCAATAAATTTATTAAAGTTTTCATTTTGATGATCAGTTATTTTTATATGTATTAGGTTAGGTATATCATATTTGCTTTGTTAAATTAGATCTAAAAAAATTTTCACTATGGGTCAAAGTATCTATGTCTAATATTAATGAGTATTTGTTAAACACTTGGACTATATCTATACTTACTAGATTTACCATGTATAGCAGATCTCTAAAACATTTATGAATTACTTATCTCTACCTAAGATACTTTTGACTTTAAGTTAGGTATGATAATTAGAAGTCAGGCTGTATGTCATATTGTATGTAGTATTTTGATTTTGTGAACACTTTTTATTCTGTTGCCTATGAATGGAACTGTGCTTAAGGCAGTGGACTATCATAACTTTACTAACATTCCCACTGTAAGTGAAACAGGTGGGTAATTGAGCTGTCACTGTAATCAAAGATGATGAACATCCCCACGCTACCCACCCTCCCCCCACCCCACATTAGTCAAATATTCTTTCCTTTTTTTCTTCTTACAGGAGAATTCTATTAAACTTTATTTAAAAGTGTAAAATACTGGGAATATTTATTTCAGCACTTCTAGTAGTAATCAAGGATTGAAAAGAACATGTTAATAGTAAAATCGATATGTAATTTTGATAAATCATTATCAACCTGGGTTTGTTAGTAGTTTTCTAAAACAAGTAACAGGGAAATTGAGATAAAAATAAAAGATTGCTTATCATTACACAGTAGATGAATATTGTAATTTCCAATACAACCAGACTGTTTATACCTTGCAGTCTAATATTTTTCCAAAATACTATTTTTGCTTGTATTGGAATGCCTATATTAACCATTGCCTTCAGGCTTTATATCATTTTTAAGTTTGACAACATCAGTAAACTGAGGTTTGGAGACTATCATGTCATTTTCTTCTGATCTTTTGGTCTTAATTTGAGGTTTATAAAGTGTTTCTTCCATTTGAAATTATTATTATTATTATTATTATTTTAATATGTCAGTAGTGGAATGATCTACCCTTTTTACAAAGGGTGAAAAGAAAACTACTATATTTTTCAAGGACATTTACAAAGAGTTTTTTATACTTTAAGAAGAAACTGAATAAAAAGTAAATGTCCAGCCTGGCTGGTGTGAACGTCAACCAAGTAACCAAGGGGTCATGGCTTCCATTCCAGTCAGGTCACATGCCTGGGTTGCAGGCTCGATCCCCAGTAAGGGGACATGCAGGAGGCAGCCAATTAATGATTCTCTCTCATCTTTGATGTTTCTATCTAAAAATCAAACAAAAATTTTTTTTAAATGTTAGACCATTTAAAAATTTAAATACTCTAATAAGTTATCATAGAAACAAGTTATTTCATTCATTCAGAATTTCTTCAGTAACTATCCCCTTCCTAAACTATTTAGCTGGTGAGCATGATAACCTAGGAAGGGGTATCACGAGTCATCTGATTAAAGGGGAGAGATCCCACAGACCAATATCCTAGTTTGGGATAAAGGAACTTAATGAGGGTAACCATGCAAGTGGGTAGTCAGGGTTAGAGGATCAGACCCCTAGTGGGCATTCATACCATTCATAGAGGTGGCTCAGTTTGGTCTATCAGAGTCCCAGTAGGTTGAGGAGGTTACAGTATGGAGAGCAATATATTGTATGGTATTAGAGGACATCCATTTGACACACAGTGCCTCATCAAAAAGAACAGGGCTTTCCTCATGACGACTTCTGAGGAGGGCCTCACTGTAGTTTGGGTGGGATATCAGAAACTAAGTGGACTCAGTTGTTTGATCATCATCCTATGCACTAAAGGTTCGCCGGTTCCATTCCAGCTCAGGGCGCATACCCAGGCTGCGTGTTTGAGCCCCAGTTGGAGTGAGTGCATGCAGGAGGCAACCAATCAATGTTTCTCACATTGATGTCTCTCCCTCTCCTCACTCTCTTGCTTTCTCTCTCTATAATCAATAAAAAGAAAACATGTTTTAAAAAAGAAAAAGAAACTGAGTGGGTGAAAAGGACATTTACACTGAAGAGTGACTTGGAACGGGGTTTCAAAGCTTCAGCAGGGAAAGGGGGACATCTGTTCACAAGAAAGGGCAGTGGAATAAGAAACTGGTTACATACAGGGGGAATTTATCAAATAAGATATATTAAGAATAATTAGAGCAAGGTTTTTCATTGTCAGAGAAAATTATTACATATAATGGAGAAAAAGCTCGAATAAATACGGTATTGGATTGGATTTGAGATACTGTAGTGAACACAATTGTTTTCAATAGACATATAAGTGATTAATGTGCATGTATGTATATAATTATAGGGTGTCCCCAAAAAATGTACACACACTATTTGAATAATTATAAAGGCAGTGTTTGTTTTTTATTTTATTTTTAAAATATATTTTATTGATTTTTTTTACAGAGAGGAAGAGAGAGGGATAGAGAGAGTTAGAAACATCGATGAGAAAGAATCATCGATCAGCTGCCTCTTGCACATCCCCTAATGGGAATGTGCCTGCAACCAAGGTACATGCCCTTGACCGGAATCGAACCCAGGACCTTTCAGTCCGCAGGCTGACACTCTATCCACTGAGCCAAACCGGCTTTGGCTAAAGGCAGTGTTTATTAAAATACATTTCATTTTCAAAATTGAGCCATCAGCTGTTAAAACATATATGCATATTTTTGGGACACCCTGTATATTATCTACTGTAGTGACAACTCAGTAGCAGTGAGCACATTTATTGCCATAGCTCTTCAAGAGAAACAATTGATCCAATGTCTGAAATAGAGAAAGTACCAGATGAACCTAGAACTTAATTTTATTTTAAGACGTGACCTTAACAATTCTAAAAATACAAGACTTTTGAATGTCCCTCTATGAGTTTATCTTATGATTAAATTTAGGTTATACATCTTTGGCAGGAACAACACAGAACTAGATGTTAAAATTTAAGGCACATGTCTAGTGTCTTAAATTTTACTTTAAGGTTCTAGAGAAAGAAGAGCAAATTCAACCCAAAATAAGCAGAAGAAAGAATAAGAAAGGTCAAAATAAAAATCAATCAAATAGAAAACAAATACAATAGAAAAAGTAAATCAGAAACTAGTTCTTCAAGATAATTGATAAACCTCTAGCCAGATTTATCAGGCAAAAAAGAAAGAAGACACAAATTACCAGTATCAGGTGTGAGAAGTGACTTCACTACATATTTTATAGGCATTAAAAAGACTAAGGATATAGTATGAATAATCTTATGTTAATAAAGTTAACCACTTAGATAAAATAGGCAGTTTCCTTGAAGGACACAAGTGATTAAAGCTCACTTTTGGTACAGAGGACATTATTTGACATTAGATTGAAATTTGAATGGGGAATGAGGATTAAATGAAAGTCATGTATCAGCATTAATGGCCTGATTTAATGGAGGTATTATTGTTCTTTAGTAGAGTGTTCTTGTTTTAAAATATTTAGTAATGGTAGATGATCAGCAATTTAATCTAAATTGATTTACTTGAACATGTGTTTCTAACTCAATTTAGAATATTTTTGCTAAGTTTGAAATTATTTAAAAAAACAACAACTAATGATATTTGCAAGAACAATAACAAGTTTTCTTTCTCCTACAGCGGAAAGAAAGCCTCCTTTATTTAATATGAATGCAATGAGTGCCTTATATCATATAGCCCAAAATGAATCCCCTACACTACAGTCTAATGAATGGTGAGTATTGCTAAGAGATTTATTATTCAACATTTTATAAATTAAATGTGTTCTTGTAATGTTATCAAAATGATTTCATTTCAGTTAGGTAAAATGTATTTCTATCTGAAGAGAGATGAAAATAGGCTTATTTTTTAAACAGTAGTCTAATCTATCATTGCTTTGGAGTATATTATTTTTATTGGATTAAGAGACATTATCGTGTATGCTATTATCTTGTTTAATTCCCTCAGTGAACTTGTGTTAAATAAACTACACAATGATAAGTAAAATAGGTTTATTTTACCCCTATATCATGTTTATCCTTTAATATGTCTGCTTTTTATAGCATATGTATCTCAGTGATGCAAATGGAAGCAAAACATATTGCTTTTTATAAAAATTTATATTTTATATTTTCTTTGAACTTTAGGAATACATATTACCCTGATTATATAATAACACAATTTAAACATGAATATAAATATAACTTTGTGATCATTCTAGTTTTTATGTTATTTATTATTCAGAGTGCTCTGATGTTCCTTTTCTTAGTGCTTCCTTGATTTGATAAAATTAAGTTCATTTATGTAAAGACGTTTATGTAGAACAGATTGATATTTTAAAAACTAGAATTTTTATTAGTGGTAGAAAATTTTAATGGGAAATTGATTCTTCGGGTGTATCTAGCATTTGAAAAAATGTAGGAGATATAATAATATAAAGTATATAATCCTATATAATAAAGAGGTAACATGCTAATTAGACCAGTTGGCTGAATGACCTCTGGAACGACCTTCCTGACAATCCTCCAAAACGACCTTTCTGACGACCTTCTGGAACGACCAGTGGGCAGGGGGCAGGGCTGAGGCAGCAGCGTCTGTGCGGGCCTACTCTTGCACAATTTTCATGCATCGGACCTCTAGTATATTTAATAAATACTTTAAAATTCACAAGTAGATATATAAATTAGCGATACTTTATTTTTTAAAGATTACATAATTAAGGCACATAAATTAGAGACATGTATAAGGAATCTTTTGGCACAGAGTTTAGTACTATGGTACATATAAATAATAAATATATTGAACACAGACTTAGATTCTTTGGGGAGTCAAAAAAATCTTGCACAAGGAACATAAAATGTTATCTGATATTTTAAGACAAATGATGAATTATTACTTACTGCCTTGCTCACTGAACTCTTATCATCACATGCTATAGTAATATGTTGCAGACTTTTAATGTTTTTAAAAGTAACTTAATTGGTTTAATGGAAATTTTATCAATTTGTTCATGGATATCAAATAGGTATACAAAATGCTCCCTCCAAGCTAAGAGTGTGCTATATAGGAGATAATCCAAGAAGCAAACAAGGGAGAGATGACTTAGAGAAGAGAGAAAACAAATTGACAAGGATGTCATTTTAATTTGAATGCAAAGAAGAAGAAAATTGACTTCCCTAATTTTGCCTTAATTTAGAATGAGTTGTGTTATTATGTGAGAGCAGGATTTTTAAATCATCTGTGCAAGTTTATCTTTGAAAAATGGTAAAGATTCACTGGTTGCTTTAGATGGTTTTTATAGATTTATATGAAATACATGGTATGTATTGCGTCTGCTTTCTTTTAAAATTTTTCCATCCCCCCTCCCCCCAATAGGCATATACCTTGATTTGTGGATCTGTTTTTAAAGGAAATAGCAATGTGTTCACTTGATACTTTCCTTTACAATAGGTCTGATTATTTTCGCAACTTTGTAGATTCTTGCCTCCAGAAAATCCCTCAAGATCGCCCTACATCAGAGGAACTTTTAAAGGTCAGTTTATACTCTTAAATTGGTTTTCTATCCCTAAGAAATTATTTATTTAAATGTGCTTTATTCCTCTTTGATTCTGAATTAGTATTACCAGCCCTAGCCAGTTTGGCCCAATGGATAGAGTGCTGGCCTTCTGACCAAAGGTTCCCAGGTTCAATTCCTGTCCAGGGCACATACTTTGGTTGCAGGCTCCTCCTCAGCCTGGGCAGTGGTCGGGGCACCTACAGGAGGCAACCAATCAATGTGTTTCTCTCACATTGATATTTTTCTCTTTCCCTCTCTCTAACACTCTCTCTATAATTAATGGAAAAATACCCTCGGTTTAAAAAATAATAAAATATGTTAAAAAAAAAAAAAAAAAAAAGAAGGAAAGAAAGAAAGAACGAAAATGCCCTACCATTTTTACTAGAATATTGTTGGAAAGTTTTCTCAGATGCTAAGTTTTTCATTTGTTTTTGTTTTTTCCCAAAAAAATTTATTAACTGGTTTTACTGTCGCTAAATACAATATATAGTCAAATATTCAAAATAGAAACTTAAAAATGGTTATCGTTTTTGTTTCCTTTCTGGAAATATCTTTTTCTAACTTAATGAAAATATTTTTTAAATTATGTAAATTCTATTCAGTTTCAATAGATTTGTTGCTTAAACACATTACTGGTATCCTTTATATTCTCAAAAAATTATTATTTCATTTGTAGGCTTACCACCTTCTTAACAGTAGTAATATTGTTGAAATTAATGTACTTCCTAAAACATCTAGTTAAGACATTATTAGTAAATAGGATTTGTGTCTATCTCTTTGTGATCCTGAGGAATCTTGTTGATTTTCACTACAAGATGTAAGTAGACTTTCATTACATGAATGTTTTAGAGTTTCAAAGAGGTTCAGCTTATTTTCACTGAACAGCAGTTAAAGATACAAAGAAAATCTTCATATATGATATATATTCAGTAGTATTGTTTGCAACCATAGTATGTTGAAAAGCAATAAAGTTTCAGTAATGAAAGCCTGAATAAATAGGCACTCATTGCAGCAAGAAAATGTTCAGTATACCTAGGAATTATGTTAGTGAAAAATAAGCAAGATCTACATGTAGAAAGTTATTAAACTTAGAAATATATTATTTTTTTATAAGAAGACTGAATATTGGCCCCAGCACCTGACTCAGTTGGTTGGAGTATTCATTGCCCCATGTACCACAAGGGTTGCAGGTTCAGTTCCTAGTTGGGGCACATGCTGAGGTTGCAGTTTTGATCCCCAGTCAGGGTGTGTATGGGAGGCAACTGATCAATGTTTCTCCCATCCAAGTACTAACCAGGCCTGACCCTGCTTAGTTTCCGAGATCAGACGAGATCGGGCGCGTTCAGGGGGGTATGGCCGTAGACCTGATCAATGTTTCTATCTCCCTTCTTCTCTCTCTAAAATCAATAAATATGTCCTCAGGTGAGGAATAAATAATAATAATCCTATCTAATAAAAAGGGAATATGCTAATTGACATCACTCTTCACAAAGATGGCTGCACCCACAGCTGAGGCCAAGTTCCCATAAGGAGCCCTAATGAGCAATCAGCAGGGACCTGAGGCTACGACCTCCCCCACTCCCAAGGGGTTTGACGGGACCTCAGGCCATGTCCCCTACCCAGGCTTGACCGGACCTCAGGCTGCACCCCACCCGGCAGGGCTTGACAGGGAACCTCAGGCCGAGTCCCCCACCTGGTGGGACTAGACAGGGGACTTTAGGCCACGCCCCCACCCAGCAGAGCTTGATGGAGGACCTGAGGCTGTGTACCCCCGCCTGGCTCTCTTATCTCTCTTCCTTCTTCTCTGTAAAAAATCAATAAAAATTAGTAAAATATATATTTTTTAAAATAATAATAATAGCCGGCACTGGTTTGGCTCAATGGATAGAGCGTTGGCTTGGGGACTGAAGGTCACCTGGGACCTGCCCTTCCATGCCCGATTCTTACACTTCGATCACTGGCTAAGCCTAGGAACCACATCCCTGCACTAATTTTGTGCACCTAGCCTCTAGTAATAATAATCTTATATAATAAAAGCATAGTATGCAAATTGTCTCCTCTACTGGAGTTCTCCCGGGAGTTCTGGGGACAGGGTGGCCGGGGGAAAGGAGGGAGGCCCCAGCCAGCAGCCTCTAGGGACCCTATCAGTGCAAGAATTTTGTGCACTGGATCTCTAGTAAAATTATAATTATAATAATATAATAATAATAATAATAGAAGAAGAAGAAGACTTAATATTGTAGATAGTGGTACATACCAAGAAATTTAAGGCTCAGGAAAAAGGAAGAACGTTACTGCCTTCTTACACTTGCCCAAGGATAAACTCTTTTGACAAGTGCTTCTTTTTCCTTGGCCTAATTACATTTCTGTCACAGTCCATCATAAAGAGAAAAAAAGAAAAAAATTTTTTAAATGTATATAGAAAAATTTTTAAAAGAAATACACCATCACTGGAATATAAAGTACAGCATATAGAATGTAATCAATAATATTGTAGTAACTATGTATGGTGCCAGGTGGGTACTAGACTTAATTTGGGAGGATCACTTCATAAGTTTTTAAAACACTATGCTGTACACTTGAAACTAATATAATATTGAATATCAACTGTAATTGAAAAAATGAAAGAAAAGAAATATATCAAAATGTAACAGTGGTACTTCTAATGGTAGAGTCATTCTTTCTATTTTTCTGTATTTAATAAGGTTAAGCTTCATAAATGTTATTGGTAAAAATCACTAATAATGCCCAGCAAGTATGGATCAGTGTTTGAGGGGTGACCCAGGAACCAGGAGTCACAATTCAATTCTGATGAGGGCCTAGCTCAGTCCTCCTTAGGGGATGTGCAGGAGGCAGCTGATCAATGATTCTCTCATCATTGATGTTTCTATCTTTTTCTTGCTCTCCCTTCCTCTCTCTAAAATTAATAAAACCATATTTTAAAAAAGAAATAAAATATTACTAATATAATGGCTTTTAATCAGCTGCTAGTGTTTTATGAAGTGTTGCTTATGAAACATACAAAGGAGCCAATAATATCAAGGTTTTATGTAACATAAAACCACCATCAGTAAATACATTCCTGTTGAAACCTAACTAAGAACTAACATCCTTAACTATGAAATCAGCAGTTCTAGAATATGTAAACCTTTATTTAACAATTGAATTTAGGGCTCTAATTTTATAATTGAACTTAATTCTTAGACTTTAATTAGGCTTTTTGATTATTTTAACTCAGCATTTTCAGTTGTCCAACAAAAGTATCTTCAAAGTTTTTATAAAATTTGCAGGGGTAGTTATGTAGGCACAGAATATGTATGTGCAAATGACAACTTTGTAAATGAAAGAAGTCAGAAGTATAGTACAACTAGATAGCTTTAGATTATATTAAATATCTATCATAATTATTTAGGATAGTAATTCTAGGAGGGGTACATTTGTACTAATTAAAAAATACATAGAGCATAGGTTTTAACTTTTACTTTCTCTTATCCAGCACATGTTTGTTCTTCGGGAACGCCCTGAAACAGTGTTAATAGATCTCATTCAAAGGACAAAGGATGCAGTAAGAGAGCTGGACAATCTGCAATATAGAAAAATGAAGAAACTCCTTTTCCAGGAGGCACATAATGGACCAGCAGTAGAAGCACAGGAAGAAGAAGAGGTAATAACTTAGAAATGGCTGAAATATTGAGCTCTCTTCATTGGCTTCTTTCCTTATGTAATCTGTTTTGTCACAAATCTTTTAGATCAGTGGTTCCTAGGTTGTGTTTTCTTACCTGGATCCCAGATGTGAAATGATATTGCATTATTTAAACCCAACCCTTCTTAGTGTATATTGGGATAGTAAAGCCCTGCAAGTCCTTTATTAAGGAAACCTGTTCAATTTTATTTAATGTAGTTCCTCTCAAAGTTCTTGGCCACTGGGCCTTTTTTTTTTCTTTTTTACCATTCTCCAATTTCATGGGACATGCTTTTGGAAATATTTGAAATAAACTCTGGAAGTTGCCAAAACTCACTCAGAAAGTTACCAGGTGTTCTACTTTGTCACCGTAAACACTTTTTTCAGTTCTGTACAATTTTGTTCCGTCTACACAGTTCTGAAATACTCATTTTACAGATTAGTAAAGCAAGGCTCAAAATGGTTAATTCACTTTATCTTTTTCTTCTTTATACCTGTTAGAATGCCAAAGCTTTGATTTTTTTGTATTACTTTCCAGTGAAGGAGATCATTTTGCAGTCTGAAACCAGGAGCAGTAGTTAGTTACTTTTCTTTTTAACAGTGTTGCATAGTTAATGAACTATAAAATACAATACTTCCTTAACTTACAGTTTTGTTTTTATTTTATTCTTATAATAGTCATTAGAAAATTGTTTGGGGCTGTTTTAAGTATATGACTATTTTAGCAAAGTTGTGAAATTAATAAAATTCTAATGTAGTTAAATCTATAATTCTAAAATAGTAACTTTAATAGGCTAGGGATATAAGTTCATATATGTATGAGATATATAGTGAGATATATACAAGATGTGTCTATATCAGTGGTTCCCAATGTGGGGCCCAGGCCTCACAGGAGGGGCAGTTTGATTTTTAAGGGGGGCAATTCAAGAATGAGTTATTAATAGTGAATTTTTTGTATTTCTTATGGTTCTAGGGGCCTCATATACAGTATATAAATATATAGTGACATATTTATGCATTTTAGCTCTCTAATATATGTTTTAAAACTTCATTTGCTATTTTTTCATATCACTTAATATTAATATTATTTTTTAAACAATTTCTTAGTGCTTTCTTCCTCAGTACTTCAGTTGTCCTTTTGTTCTTTTGTTTTTCTCTCTCATGAGCCATGTTCTTTGGAAGCTTGTTTAAGACCAAATTAATGGCCTTTTAGGCTTCTTCTATGTGAATAGGAGTTCACTATTTATTTATTTATTTATTTATTTATTTATTTATTTATTTTTTACAGAGAGGAAGGGAGAGAGATAGAGAGCCAGAAACGTCGATGAGAGAGAAACATCGACCAGTTGCCTCTTGCACACCCCCTACCGGGGATGTGCCCGCAACCAAGGTACATGCCCTTGACCGGAATCAAACCCGGGACCTTTCAGTCCGCAGACCAATGCTCTGCCACTGAGCCAAACCGGTTTCGGTGGGAGTTCACTTTTTAAATAATAAGAATTATATGTCACAAGTGGGGCATGACCAAAAAAATATTGGGAACTACTGGTCTATATTAATTAAATTCTGCATATCTTTAAAAAATTCTACATCTCTATAGAATTTTGATATGGTAAGACAGCTATAATGTTATTGCCTAGATACCATTGCTTGCCTGGTTTCTTCAGAAAAACAGTCTTATGATTTTGATTAAATATATAAGTAATATGTCATTTTCAATTTACACGAAAATGGATAAGAATTAATGTTAATTATATGGTGGTAGAGGGTGGGCTAGAGATTATATTCTGAGGGAAAAAGGAACAATTTATAAATAATAAAAGCATAATATGCTAATTAGACTGGACAGCCAAACAACCTCCTGGACGAAGCCAGGGCTGTTAGGGCTGAGCACCTTGCACGAATTTCATGCATTGGGCCTCTAGTATACTTATACAGGGCTTCAATAAAAAATAACTAAAAGGGGTTGTTTAGCTGTAGCCTGTTTGACTCAGAAGATAGAGTATCAGCCAACAGACTGAAGGGTCCCAGGTTTGATTTCAGTCAAAGGCACATGCCCTGGTTGTGGGCTCCATCCCTAGTGGGGGATGTGCGGGAGTCAGCCAATCAGTGATTCTCTCTCATCATTGACGTTTCTGTCTCTCCTCCCTTCCTCTCTGAGATCAATAAAAATATTTAAAGGGGGAGGGGGAGTTGTTTACAAGATTAAAAAAAAAAAAAGTTGGGGCTTATTTTAACCGTGGGAATCATTGAAAAATGAGCATAATCTCTATATAGCCCATGAGTTGTGTGGTAGAAATAGATTTTAAAAATATCAGTTTAGAGAAAATGCTACACTTTAGAAATAATCCAAAGCTAGTTAACTGACTTTTTCACACATTTGGGTTTTTTAACTGTCAAGGAATAGTTGTTAAACTTACTGGTTTGACAATTAAAGGGGATTTCTCATAATAGACCTGTGACTTTCTGAAGACTGTATGCCAAGCAATGTGCAAGATACTTGTATTCAAGAATTCAAAAGAAATACCGATATTTGAACCTAATGTTTTTTTCCCTTAGGAACAAGATCATGGTGTTGGACGGACAGGAACAGTGAATAGTGTTGGAAGTAATCAGTCTATTCCCAGTATGTCCATTAGTGCCAGTAGCCAAAGCAGTAGTGTTAACAGTCTTCCAGATGCCTCGGATGACAAGAGTGAGCTGGACATGATGGAGGGAGATCATACAGTGATGTCTAATAGTTCTGTCATCCACTTAAAACCTGTGAGTATTTGGGTTTTAGTGAAAATTTTCAACTTTGGTAAATAATTTTCTTCATCTGATTAGTGTAAGAGAAATTTTTTTTAATGTTTCAGGAATTTGGAACAATAGGCTTGTTAATTCCCAATGTAATGTATGCATTTGGGAAACTAATGTTTTAAGAATATAAATTTTTTTTTAATTTTAGAAGAAAGAAATACAGAAATAAGATATGTATTATTTGAAATATTTGTATTATTTCATTATAAGATGAAAAGCAAAGTATTTTAAAATAGTAAGTATGAAATTAGTGATAATGGTTACTTTTGGGGAGTAGGAGAAAGAGTTAAGATGATCAAAAGTAACTTTGGGCCCTGGCCAGTGTTAGATCAGCGTCCCATGCATCTAAGGGTAATGGACACAATTTCCTGTAAAGGCGCATGCCTGCGGCAACCAATCGGAGTTTCTTTCTTTTTCTCCCTCTCCCTTTCTCCCTCTCTTGAATCAATGAAGACCATATCCTCAGGTGAGGATAAAAAAATAACTTTTGCATTATCCATGTTTACATGTTTAAAATAAAATTGAGTGTAGTTTATGTATAATCCACAGATACAGACAATAGTGCAGTGAAGGCCTGGGGAGGGGACAGGAGTGAGGAGGAAAGGGTGAATGGGGGTAAAAAGGGGGACATCTATAATAGTTTCAATAATAAAGATAAATTTTTTTAAAAATTGAGTGTAGTTACAGAAAAGTATAAATGCAGTATATAAGAAATAGATTTGTATGCTACCTTATTTTTTGCACTTTCAAGTACAAAAATTTTTAATTTTCTTAAAAATATTTGAGGTCAGGTAGTTTCTTTTAGCAATTATTAGGAATGTTTCCTTTTTAACTTAATAGCTTGTGGTATTACCTAAAATGTTAGTAGAAACCATTAGCTAAAAGGTGGAACCAACATAAGTATCCACCAATGAATAAATAAACAAAAGTGGTATATACATCTAATGGAATATTATTCAACTATAAAAAGGAATGAAATTCTGATATGCTACATGGAGTGAACCTTGAAAACATGCTAAGTGATACAAACCAGATGCAAAACAATAAATATTGTGTAATTCTATTTATATGAAATACCTAGAATAGGCAAATTCATAGAGATAGAAAGTAGATTAAAGGGTACCAGGGGCTGAGTAGAGGAGAGTTTTTGTTAATTGCTACAGAGTTTCCATTTGGGATGATAAATGTTTGGAAATAGTGGCAATGGTTGTACAGCATTAAGAATGTAATTAATGCCACTGACTTATATACTTAAAGATGGTTAAAATAGCAAATTTTATATTACATATATTTTATCACATACAAAAAAGTTATTAAGAATTATTAGATAAGTGGTAGTGTTATTCAGAGCAAAATCATGTTTAATTTTTATATTCTTACAATAGAATCAGCTATATAAAAGATTAGTCCCATAATTAGTTGGTTGCCCACTTAATTGACTTCTCTTTAGTTAATGAACTAAGGTAATTTATAAGGAAAGACATTAATTTACAACTATTTTTTGGTTACTTGGACAAATGGCAGACACATTATAAAGACATTTTTAACCTATATTATTGCTTCTAAAACCCAGGAGCCTTCGAAAAATCAATTTCATTGCTGCTGTTTAAAATATTGGCCGCATGTTTCATCATCATTATTTTCAAGTCATATTAAAGCTTTGCAATTTTACATATGAGTAGGATATAAATCTAGCCTTATACATTTTCTTATCCTGAATCTCTGTGCTATTTCATACACTGAAGAAATAACATCTCCTGATTTTACTTATGTTGGAAATATCTTAAAAGTTCAGATGAACTTTGTACACCTCAAAAGTGTTGTCTCTTTTTTTATTTAGGAGGAAGAAAATTATAGAGAAGAGGTAGATTCTAGAACAAGAGCATCAGATCCACAATCTCCACCCCAAGTATCTCGTCATAAACCACACTATCGTAATCGAGAACACTTTGCTACTATACGGACAGCATCACTGGTATGTGCTTCACCTGAATTTGAAGTATATTTTCCATGTTGGATCTTGTCATCTATACTCAAATATAATGATTTTTTTTTTTTTGTATTTGAGGTTTATTTGGAAAACATTTATTCAGAATTAAGTGCCTGTTAGAAGAAAGAATATATGAAACACTCAGACATTAAACTAATAATATCTTCAAGAAATGTACACAAATAACTAATATGTTAGAATACTAGTGGCCCATTGCACGAAAAATGTGTATGGGGAGAGGAGAAGGGGGTCTCTCAGCTCAGCCTGCACCCTTTTGCAATCTGGGATCCCTGGCTCCTAACCGCTTACCTGCCTGCCTGCCCGATCACCCCTAACCTCTCTGCCTGCCTGCCTGATCGCCCCTAACTGCCTTCCCCTGCCAGCCTGATCTCGCTTCCCAACTGCCTCTGTGTGCCAGACTAATCTTGCCCTCAACTGCCCTCCCCTGCTGGCCTGATCTCGCCCCCAACTACCTTCCCCTGCCAGACTAATCTCGCCCCACACTGCCCTCCTCTGCCAGTCTGATCTTGCCCTTGACTGCCTTAAAACTCCGTCTCTGCCCTCACCTTAGGTTCTGCCTTCGCAATTCTCCCAGATTAGGTTCTGATTGGTTGGTTTCTATACCATTCAGCATCAAAAGCTCCACCTCCTAGGCAGCCATTGGGTCCTCACAGTTCACCCAGATTTGGTTCTGATTGGTCAGTTTCTGTGCCAGTCAGTGTCAGAAGCTCCACCTTCTAGTCGAAACCAGTTTGGCTCAGTGGATAGAGCATCAGCCTGACTAAAAGGTTTGATTCTGGTCAAGGACACATTCCCAACGGCGTGTGTGCAGAAGGCAGGAGGATGTTTCTCTCTCATCGATGTTTCTAACTCCCTATCTCTCTCCCTTCCTCTCTGTAAAAAATCAATAAATATATATATATATATATATATATATATATATATATATATATATATTTTTTTTTTTTTTTTTTTTTTTTTTTTTTAAAGCTCTGCCTTCTAGGCAGCCCTTGGCTTCTCACAGCTCACCCAGATTTGGTTCTGATTGATCGGTTTCTATGCCATTTTTTTTTTTTAGTGGCAAAAGCTCTGCCTCCTAGGCAGTCATTGGCTCCTTACAGTTCACCCAGATTTGGTCCTGATTGGTCAGTTTCTTTGCCAGTCAGCATCTCCAGGCATGATCAGAGAGGCAGGGCTGATCAGTAGCCCCTGCAGAGGCCCGGAGAGCAAGAGAGGCATGCTTCTGGGCCTGATCTACAGTTCCCTAAGTCGTCATTGCTGGGTCACCAATGCAACTCAGCACTGACTGTAGGACTGACTTCTGGTGGTTAGTCGAGCCTTCAGTCGTTAAGGTCACTGCCTTTATATATATATAAATATTAAACACTTAAGAGTACTACAAGGTACTCGGCAGGAATTCAGATGACTTTTTAAAATATAATTTTTTGTTGTTGTTGATTTCAGAAAAGAAGGGTGAGGGGGAGAGAGAGATAGAAACATTGATGGTGAGAGAGAATCATTGATTGCCTGCCTCCTGCATGTCCCACACTGGGGATTGAGCCTGAAACCTGGGCATGTGCTCTGATCCAGAATCAAACCGTTACCTCCTGGTTCATTCATAGGTCAATATTCAATCACTGAGCCACTCTGGTTGGGCAATTCAGATTCCTTTTAATTCAGGGCATAAAGGAGTATTTATAAAATGAATTAAGCCTTAAATAATTAGTTTTAGGCTGGAGAAAGAGGAAAAATGTTATTTCCACATAAAATTGACAATAAGGAAATACTGAGGCTAAAAAAAAATGAGGGGAAATGTTGGGAAAATGTCAGGTGATCCAATTTGACATACAAAAAAATGTAGTTTTTCTGATTTCCCAAATAACAATAAAAAAGATTATTTGTTAATTAGAGGAACACTTTTGATGGGGTACTTATAATCTTGATCAAATAGTAGGACCAATACACAGTAAAGGATTCTAGGGATAGAAAGAAATTATAGAAAAAATCTAGAGGCTCAGTGCATGAAATTCGTACATGGATAGGGTCCCTAGTGGCTGCATGCTGGCCGGGCCTGCCTTCATTCAGTGCTGCCCCCTGGTGGTCAGTGCATGTCATAGTGAACAGTCGAATTCCCGGTCAGTCAAACTCTCAATGGGACACTTTGCATCTTAGTGTGTGTGTGTGTGTGTGTGTGTGTGTGTGTGTGTGTATGTGTGTGTGTATATATATATATATATATAGACTACTAGTTCAGTGCATGAAATTCATGCATGGGGAAGGGTGTCCCTCAGCCCGGCCTACACACCTTCTCCAATCTAGGACCCCTCAGGGTTGTCTGACTGCCGGCAATCGAACCTCCTTCTTGCATTCCGGAACCAGTAGCTCCTAACAACTCACCTGCCTTCCTGCCTGATCACCCTAATCCCTCTGCCTGCTGGCCTGATCAACCCTAACTGCCCTCCCTTCTGGCCTGATCACTCCTAACTGCCCGCCCCTGATCACACACACACACACACACCACTGGCCTGCTCGCTCCCAACTGACTGCCCCTCCTGCTGTCCTGATTGTCCCCAACTGCCCCCCTGCCCCTGCCAGCCTGATTGCCCCTAACCACCTCTGCCTCAGCCCAGCCCCATGGTTTTGTCGGGAAGGACATCTGAAAGGTCTCCTGGTCTAATTAGCATATTACTCTTTTCTTAGTTGAATAGGTCATTGGAGAAAATGACAGAAAGAAAAAAAGATAAGGGAGTTATCTAACTTGTTATGCAGATTTTATAAATCCCATGCTATATGACATGGGGCCAAGAACACCATCTCTCACCATAATTCAGGTCATTCTTACCATTCTGCAACATCTAAATAACTCTTTGAACAGAGCAAGAGGCAAATTTGCTTAATTTTTTTTCATAGCTATTTTAATAAATACGTAGAGAGGGGCCAGTTTGTGGGGAAACATCTTTGTGTCTTGGCATATATTATATGTTTCCCAAGCAAGTCTTTTGTCCCATAATTTGGCTCACTCAAATTAATTAAGAACATTTAAATTATAGATTTAGAAAACTTAAGATCCCTTTCCTTGAACTTAATACTGTAATTTCATTGATTTCAAATAAAAATTCAGAGTATGCAGATTTATGTGCAAAGATAAGCATAGTATAGTATTCAATATATTTACTATACGCAATAATTCAGTCTAACTTCTTTTGCCTTGAATTTTTTTCATACAGTCAAATGCACAGATCTTAGATATTCCGTTTGAAGAGTTTTTATAATGGTATATACATAGGCTAACCTACGTATATAGGAGGTGTTCACTTTAAAGTGTGATTGATTTGATTTTATGTGAATTTCACATCAATTTGAAAATCCAATTTATACATTTTCTTTCTTTATAGTCAGTATTGTGTGTACTGACCATGAAATATTTGCCTACCCCATGTTTGTGAAGATACTTTGTTTCCTTCTGCTATATGACTCTGGATCTCATGTTTAGGTTAAATAACTCTTTTCAAATTGATTTTTGTACTTAGATATAGGAGTTAAGGTTGGTTTGTTTGTTTATTTATTTATTTATTTATTTTCATGCAGAGAACCAGTTGTTTTAGCAGGATTGTTTAAAAAAAATAAATAACCACACTTTCCTCTTTGAATTTTTGACAGAAATCAATTGACTGAATATGTGTGGGTCTATTTCTATATTTTATTCTGTTCCTTTGATCTACTCAGCCTATCCTTAAAACCACACTATTTTGATTACTGAAGTATATGCTTCTAACTTTTACCCCCCTCAAGATTGTTTGCCTATTCCATTACATTCCCATATAAATTTTAGAACCAGCTTGTCTGTTTAAAAGACCTACTGGGAATTTAACTAGAAATTGCTAGCTGGGATCTCTTACATTAATTGCCTACTTAGTTATTACCAGAGTGGTCTAAAATGCTTTTGAAAAGAAAATGTTTGCTTTTTTTATTCTTTTCTTTTAGGTTACAAGGCAAATGCAAGAACATGAGCAGGACTCTGAACTTAGAGAGCAGATGTCTGGTTATAAGAGAATGAGGCGACAACATCAAAAGCAGCTGATGACACTAGAAAATAAGCTAAAGGCTGAGATGGATGAACATCGCCTCAGATTAGATAAAGATCTTGAAACTCAGCGTAACAATTTTGCTGCAGAAATGGAGAAACTTATCAAGAAACATCAGGCTGCTATGGAAAAAGAGGTGACTGATCCAGTATTACATTTTTTAAACTTTTTAATTTATTGATTAATTATTAGAGACAGGAAAAGAGAAACAAATGCTTTGTTGTTCCACTTATTTATGCATTCATTGGTTGGTTCTTGTATGTGCCCTCACTGAGGTTCGAACCCACAACCTTGGCACATCAGCACAATGCTCTAACCATCTAAGCTACCTGGCCAGTGCTCATTATTATTAATTTACTCATTCTAGCTTTTGATCATCTCAGAATTAATCAAGGTAGCATTTTGATGTTGGTGTATCTGTTCCCAGAACCAAGCAAATCAAGTGTGGAAAGGGATAAATATTTATATAACGTGCACAATATCAAGTACTGAGCCTGGGAACCAATGGACATGGGATCATCTCCTTATGTGATAGTTTTACAGTGTAACAGTAGTAAGTCATTTAACTATTTTAGGCCTTTGGATTCACTGGTAATTGAGGAGTTTGAGAAATCACTCATCAATAGGAGGTTCAGGTCTCAAAATATTCATGATTCTCTTCTCTCTGTATTTTTTTGTCAGTATTGGAGGCCCGGTGCATGAAAATTTGTGCACTGCGGGGCGGGGGGGGTCCCCCTCAGCCTAGCCTGCCCCCTCTCACAGTCCAGGAGCCCTCAAGGAATGTTCTATTGATGGCTTAGGGCTCAGGGAATGTTCTATTGATGGCAAACCACGGCTCTGGAGCCACATGTGTGCAGCTCTTTGGACTTTTAAGTGTGGTGTGGCATTAGAACCACTTCAAAATAGACTCGACCAGGCCGAAAACTGACTTCAGCACATGGGCCATGAAGTTACATTTGCACTTGTACATGCGTGCCCACATGTGGTATTTTGTGGAAGAGCCACATCCAAAGGGCCAAAGAGCCCCATGTGGCTCACAAGCCACGGTTTGCCGTCCAGTAGCTTAGGGGGAGTGGGTGTAAACCACAGTCTGGCCTCCCTCTATGGGAAGCAACCGGACTGATCAGAGAAAAGTGATGTCCCCATCACACCGCTGCTGCTGCTGCCACTGCCAGCCATAGCAGCAGCTGCCTGAGCCTTGGCCTGGCCCTCGCAACAGCATCTGCTGAAGCTTTATCTGGAAGAATATCCAGAAGACATTCAGTCTAATTAGCATATTACCTTTTTATTAGTATAGGTAATTGAAGATTATTATGCACACGTTAGAGATTATAAATTAAGAGATATTAAAATTTAGCCCATTTGTTTATACACATGACAATGGTGTATTTTTAAGCAGTCTTGTCATGAGAAACTTTTTCTTCTGTTTTTAGTGTCTCCTCTCTTTCATTTTGAGAGTCACATTTTTTCCAAGGAAAATGTAAGCTCAGTAAATTCACACAAAATCATTAAATATGTCTGGCCAGTTCACATTGAGGCATTGTCATTGTTACCCTGTTCGCCTCCCCCTCCCCCCAAAAAAAGAAGAACCACTCTGACAATGGTAGAGAAGTTGGCAAAATAACTTATGGTATAAATACATTATTGAAATAATTTGTGAAAAAAATGTACAGGTATTTAGAATCCTGTTAGGCTTTGGGTAGTGTTTTCAATAACTTGAGAAGAGGTAGAAATTAGCAAATTTGTAAAAGCAATTCATGAAATAAGATGTGTAATATAATTACAGATTTGTTTAAAATATATATGTATATATAAATATATGCATGAAAAAATTAGGAAGAGCATCACCAAAATGTTTATATTGGTTATTCTAAAATAAGTATGTATCTAGTATATAATCAGAAGTAAAACAGATGATATATATATATTACTTTAAATATGAATTTTATTTTTTTTGGTTCTCCTAAAATTCATATAATAAAAGATCTGAGTAATAATAATTTGGAAGTTCTTATTTTGGTAATGTTTATACTAATTTTATGTTCTTGGGGAATAAAGGTATCCTTGGTGATATGTATTAAACTACTGCTTTGAATCTGTTTAACTAATTTGATCCATTTTTTAAAATTTCTTACAGGCTAAAGTGATGGCCAATGAGGAGAAAAAATTCCAGCAACATATTCAGGCCCAACAGAAGAAAGAACTGAATAGCTTTTTGGAGTCCCAGAAGAGAGAATACAAACTTCGAAAAGAACAGCTTAAGGAGGTACTTGTTTTATAAAAATTGTCAAGGCAATTATCTGATTGTTAACTATATCCAATCTGATCAACTCATAGAAGCATTAGGATAAAGTTTTCTTTTAATTTTTTTCTTTAATTACAGTTGACATTCAAGATTATATTAGTTTCAGGTATATAGCATAGTGATTAGACATTTATATAAGTTACTGGAGCCCCAGTGCATGAAATCCGTGCACTTGGGGTGGGGCCCCTGCGCCCTCTAGCAGTCTGGGAGCCATGGGAGGATGTCCGACTGATGGCTTAGTGGGCCTAAGCCGTCAGCCAGACATCCTTAGCATTGTCACAGAGGCGGGAGAGGCTCCCACCACTGCCGCTGTGCATGCCAGCCGTGAGTCCGGCTTCTGGCTGAGTGGCGCTCCCCTTGTGGGAGCATACTTACCACTAGGGGGCAGCTCCTGCCTTGAGTGTCTGCCCCCTGGTGGTCAGCGCACATCATAGTGACCAGTCATTCTATCACTTGGTCATTTGCATCTTAGCCTTTAATTATGTAGGATATGCTGTAGATGAGGCCCCCCCCTACAACCATAAGATATGCAAAAAATTCACTGTTAACTCATTCTCGAATTGCCCCCCCTGTGGGGCATGAGCTGCACTTTAAGAACCACTGGACTTTACACTTTTCCTCTCTGAGCTTCATTTCTGAATACATATGCATATACCATGGGAATTGTAATATCTTCTCCACCTACCTCACTGGGTTGTCAAGTGGAGGTTTTGAGCTAATAAACCTAGAAATGTTTCATCAAGTAAATGATGTCTAAACAGGAAGGGATTGTTGGTACCCTGCAAGTAGCAGGTGCCGATTAGAGGAGGGGAGCATGATTGTTTCCCAGGACTGTAGCTTTGGAAGCTTTGCAAAGGGTTTCTGCAGGCCTCAGAGGGGCAGGTTCTGGCCAGCAACCCTGTAATGGTGGTCCACTCTGGAGATGCTGGCAGGGGGCAGGGAGTTAGGGGGTCCTAGGGGGGTAGAGAGGCCGAAGGGGGAGTAACGTCAAACCTTCTCACGTGGCTTATTCTTTAAATTTTACGTGGCTGTTTCGCAGCTGTACCTACTCAGGGTGGGGCTCCAATTTCCTGGAGCCAGGTGGGGGCCGGGCCAGAGTGGAGCCAGGTGGGTTAGGAGGGCAGGTGTAGCTGCGCCCTCAGTGAGGTTCAGCGTGCCGTGCTTCCGCTGTGGAGACAGCACTGCTGCTGTTGTGGGCAGGGAAGGGTCTGACCCTGGGGGGACGCTCAGGCCTGCCTCCACCCGGGTCTGGAGTTGTAGGCAGGAGAGGTGTGCCTGGCCCCAGTGGAGGGGGCCTGGCAGTGGTGGGCAGCGGGCCACGGGCCCCAGGTGCCTCAGGGGCGCTGATGAGTGGTTGCTGGCATGATATTGTTGTGGGTGCCCCTGGAGGGGGTGGCGGGGGAAGAGATCAGGAGTTGGAGGTGCGGGCTGCAGCTGCCCTCCAGCCCTCGAGGCTGGGTCTTCTCCCCATCTGGTCAGCCTTCCCATCCCCTGGGGGTGCAGAGGTTGGGATAGGGTGTCCGTCCGTCCGTCCCCCCGGGGGTGCAGGGGCTGGAGTAGGGTATCTGTGCAGGGGGATTGGAAGAGCTCCCCGTGGCCGCTTCTCTTCCTTCTTTGCAGTCCGGACTCCTGTCAGGCGCTCTCCTCAGAACCCTGGGAACTTGGCTCCAGCTGCCAGCCCCCTGCTGCACGCACATCAATATGCAAATTGGTTGTTATGTGACACTGTAACGACAGTTAGCATATTACCTCTTTATATGTATAGATTATATGTATCGATGAAGTAAGCTCCTTAAGAAATCTAATGTTCACCTGGCACCATACATAATTATAACAACATTATTGACTATATTCCCTATGCAGAATAAAGTTTTCTTTTGTTGCTTGTGTTCACTAAATGTCTATATCAGTTCAAATAAAGACATTGATTATTATAATCAATTACTCATCAATGAAATAAGTTGATTAGGATCTAAAAAGAAACATCTGAAAATATAATTATAATAGCTTTCCTATGCATTTATTAAGTAACTGACTTGTCCCATAGGTGCATACACATACACCCTTAAATTGAGAGCTACTAATTTATATGCTTTTTATTTTTATGTTGTTTGACTATTTTATGAACTAAAGTTGTAAAGAATTGGTCTCTTTCTTGATAATGGGAAAGACCATAAGCTTAGTAATCTCTGAAAAATCATTTTATACCTAGGAAAGGTGGCTGATTTATATATTTTTTTTAACCAAAAGGCATATGGTGGTGTCTTTTGGATTGAAAATACACTAGTGTTAATTAGCATTGTAGGGTTTGCTTCTTTGAGTATATTATCAATGCTCTCATCTTGCCCAATAAAATGCTTTTCCATTTATTAGTTTATGAGGTGTTACTTAAAATGCTGTAGAAAAACATTGGTTTTAGTTGTTCAGAGGTTATTAATACTAAATTAAATGCCATTCATGAGGAAGATCACTGTTCTTCCATGGTTTTGTTGATTTTTCTATTTAATTTTTAATTCTTTTATATTGAATCTATCCATAATTTTTTAGAAAAAACTTAATATTTAGACTGTCAAAAACCAAGAAGTGAAACATAACTGTATTTTAGCCCTAATTTTAATTCATGTATTATTTTTACCTGAAATCATTGCCTTCTGTCACAAAAAGATCTAAAGAAAGGTGTGTTTTACTTCATTTACCAGTCATTTTGTGTTTTTGAAGCTAGAAACCATCATAAATTTAGCTGTGCAGAGTTAAAAAGGTATACATGCTTTCTGGTGTACATTTCTCTTTCCTGTTCTACTTCATGGATAACTCAAGGAAAGGGAAAATATTACCTACCTCCTTAAGGTCATTGCCCTGCCTATATATTAGGACATAGATAAAATACTTTTATTTAAATACTAGAGCCCTGGTGCATGGATTCGGGCACTGGTAGGGTCCCATGGCCTGGCTTGTGCCCTCTCACACTCTGGGACCCCTTAGGGGATGTCAGCTGGTTTTGGCCTGATCCCCGCAGACCAAGCTGAGGGGACCCCACCAGTGCATAATCGGGGTCAGGGAAGAATCACTGGAGGGCTGTAGGTTGTATCTGGCCTGTCTGGCAGGACCCCAGCAGCAAGCTACCCTGCCAATCTGAGAGTCTGCCACCTGGTGGTCAGTGTTCATCATAGCGACTCGTCAAACCGTCCAACAACGGACACTTAGCATAATAGGCTTTTATTATATAGAATATCAGATACCAAAAGGTACATTCATGTAGTTAACTTTTATGTATTTTGAACTCAGTGGTTTTTTTATGTTATTAGGAGCTGAATGAAAACCAGAGCACTCCAAAAAAAGAAAAACAGGAATGGCTTTCAAAGCAGAAGGAGAATATACAGCATTTCCAAGCAGAAGAAGAGGCTAATCTTCTTCGACGTCAGAGACAATACCTAGAGCTGGAGTGCCGCCGCTTCAAGAGAAGAATGCTACTTGGACGCCATAACTTAGAGCAGGACCTTGTCAGGGAGGTACGTTTAAATGATGTGAAATTAGGATCAAAAAATGTATACACTTTTTGATTGATTATTAATTCCAATGACTTAAGTCTGAAAAGAAAAGAAAAACATTAATTGAGCTATTAGCTGTAAAGTATGTATACATTTTTTGGGACACCCTATATGTCACTCACATCCCTGCCTCAAGGCCTATGGACTTATACTTCCCTCTGCCTAAGTCCTTCTTTCCCTGATATCCATGTGACTTGCTTTCTCCCTTCCTTCATACCTCTCTTCAAATGTCTCTTCCTCAGAAATATTATACCTTCCTTGATTGCAAAAGCCTTCTCCCTTCTTTAAATGTTTTTCTTTGTACTTTTCTCTCTCACATACATGCACTTTTTTGGAGGAAGTCTCTTCCCCACTAGTATGGAAATTACATGAAGTCACAGGCCCTGACCAGGTATGCTAAGATTGAAGTTTCGATCCTTGGTCAGGGCACATAGAAGCATCAACCAATGAATGCATAAACAAGTGGAACAGCAAATCATTGTTTCTCCCTCTCGCTCACTTTCTCCCTCTCTCCCTTTCTCCCCTCTGTCCCCTTTCCTTTCTCTAAAATCATTAAGTTTTTTGTTTTTGTTTTTTGTTTTTCAAAAAGAAGTTATATTAAAGTCACAGATTCCATTTGGGTCTTTATATGCTTAGTATCTGACCCATAGTAGGCATTCAATAAATATTATATTTAATCAATACTAAATCCATGAATAAAAGAAATATTAGCTTTTAAATATGAGAAAATTAAAGTGTCTTAATAACTTTCTCTTAATCTTATTTCATAAAATAATATTAATGAATAGTAAATGACAAGGATAAAGACATTTGTGCTACTAATTGTCCGTTTACTACAGTAAAAGTCATAAAACTCTTAATATTTACTATGCAGCCATTATTCAACTTTGTTTTTACATTTCTTTTCTGATTATTCTGTTTCTTAAGATCTTTTTTCCTGCCATTATACAGCAATAAATTGTACCTTTTGTCTTGTTTTTTGGATTAGGAGTTAAATAAAAGGCAGACCCAAAAGGACTTAGAGCATGCCATGCTACTGCGACAGCATGAATCCATGCAAGAACTGGAGTTTCGTCACCTCAACACAATTCAGAAAATGCGCTGTGAGTTGATCAGATTGCAGCATCAAACTGAGCTCACTAACCAGCTGGAATATAATAAGCGAAGAGAACGGGAACTAAGGCGAAAGCATGTCATGGAGGTTCGACAGCAGCCCAAGAGCCTGAAGGTACCTTTAGCCTAAGCTTGACAGTGAAAAGAAAAAAAGGCATCCACGTAAACAGTAAAGGTCCAAGATATCTATCATAAAGAAATCGAATAAACTTTTTTCTTTTTATTTGAAGCATGTTTGGTTAGTTTTAATGTGCAGTGTTTGTAGCTACAAACTTTTGCTTATGTATTTCTCACCAACTACCAAAAACTAAGTGCCATCAATAAGAATCAAAATTCGTATTTTAAATGTACCCAAATGTTCAGTGCTATATTACATGTTAACTTGCTAACTAACCTGTTGGCTTTTTTCTCTGTTCCGGTTAATTCAGAATTGGAATCTTATTTGCTCTAAATGTGATTTGTACCCTAAAAAAGACGGTTCCTAATTAGTACAGAAGCCAGTGAATAAAATAGTAGGCCTTTTAAACTCCTCTCCCTTCATTGTCTGCACAGCTGAAGAAAAGTATTGGAATTATAACAGAACTTTAATTTTTATACTTGCTTTGAATAGAGGAATTCATTCACATGATATGAAATTTGGAAGATACCAAAGTGTACTATAAAGTTAAAGTTTTCCCTTTGTCCCTCCAGCTACCTGGTTCAACCCCCTTTACCAGAGTCAACCAGAGTTAACAATTCCAAGAAATTTTCAAGTTTTATAACATAATAAATATTTGAAGGAGTATAGTCACATGAATCTTAATAAACTAGGCTACGCAATATATAGGCTGTCATCTATATCAGTACCTCAATCTGTATATGTCTGCACACTTTAAACTTTTATTTATATCAAATAAGGCCCAGGTCCCACAGTATTTTCTTTTTTAACCCTTTCCTTTTTTTTTTTTATTTTTTTTTTAATATATTTTATTGATTTTTTACAGAGAGGAAGGGAGAGAGATAGAGAGCTAGAAACATCAATGAGAGAGAAACATCGACCAGCTGCCTCTTGCACACCCCCTACCAGGAATGTGCCCGCAACCAACGTACACGCCCTTGGCCGGATTCGAACCTGGGACTTTTCAGTCCGCAGACCGACACTCTACCACTGAGCCAAACCGGCTTCGCAACCCTTTCCTCTTTTTAAAACTACTTGATAATTAAATTGTAAAACTGTTCTTGGTCTTAACTGAATAACTGTCCTGGAGTGAAGTAAAATTCATTCACTGAGGTAATCTGTGTTAAAATCTTAAAGCTGCACCACATCCAGTGCTATCCCCAGTTCCCACCCAATTCCTTTCAAACAGGAAGGGAATCTGTCCATCCACATTACCTTCTTTGGTTGTTGCTTACAAAAATAGGAATTCATAATGATTTTTTAGATTTATTTTGTCTTTTTAATAGAAAGAAATATATTCCATTGGCAACAGAATAATTTCCCACAAAAGATTTTTTAAACAACATGTCTGTGAAATAATTAATCAGTTTTAAAGTTAGCAGCATCCAGAAATAAAACAAACTGAAAGCTTAGTTTTTATGGTCATTCCATATATCTGATATGACTGCATTTCTGTAGGGATAGTTGTTTGATGTTTGTTTTTTTCCTTTATTGATTAAAGTGTTACATGTGTGTCCTCATCTCCCGCCCCCCCTACTCATGCCCTCACCCTCCTATTGTCTGTATTCATTGGTTATGCTTATAACATGCATACAAGTCTCTCCCTCCTACCCCCACCTTCTCCTGCCTTCCCTCTGAGGTTTGATGGTCTGATCAATGCTTCTCTGTCTCTGGATCTGTTTTTGTTCATCAGTTTATGTTCATTATCTTCCACAAATGAGTGAGATCATGTGATATTTATCTTTCTCTGACTGACTTATTTCACTTAGCATAATGCTTCCAGGTCCATCCATGCTGTTGCAAATGGTAGGAATTCTTTCCTTTTTATAGCAGCGTAGTATTCCATTGTGTAGATGTACCAGTTTTTTAATCCATTCATCTGCTGATGGGCATTTAGGCTATTTCCAAATCTTATCTATTGTAAATTGTGCTGCTATGAACATAGGGGTAGATAGATAGATAGATAGATAGATAGATAGATAGATATATAGATATAGATATATAGATATATAGATAGATAGATAGATAGATAGATATATAGATAGATAGATAGATATATCCTTTCTGATTGGTGTTTCTAGTTTCTTAGGATATATTCCTAGAAGTGGAATCACTGGGTCAAATTGGAGTTCCATATTTCTTAGTTTTTTTTTAGGAAACTCCATACTATTCTCCAAAGTTATCTCCTCCTTTGCTCCATAACTTTTGTTTGACCTTTGAAAGATTAGTTAACTCAGTTAATTTCAAGTAAACTGACTTGCAAGTTTTTACTTGTGGTGTTGTTAAAGAGTAAACTATTCTTAAGTGTGTTTCTACCTAATTTATTCCCTGAAGGAAAATTGTAATAACAATATTAGTTACTAATACCCTTTTTTATGGTGTCTGTCCCAGACCATGTAGTTGGAGTTCAGATTGTGATTAGAAGAAATTGGAACAAAGTATCTCATATAAGGAACAGAGTAAATGTGCATATTTTCTACCTGAGTGATCTGATATAATACTGTCTATGTTTTAATATTTACTATACTTATTGCTTGAGAAGAAATTTAATTTTCTGTCATCAATATACACAGTAATCAAAACTAATTTCAATATTTAAGTAACTAAAATTACTAGCAGAATATTGAGTATTGCTTGAAATACTGTCATAAATGATGTTGTTGGTATTCTAATTTAAATTAGAATTTTGTTATTAAAATATATAGAATTTAGTGATCTGGCCCAGTAACCAAGTGCAAAAGTATCTGTAACCTTATGATTTCATCTCTTTAGTTTTTCTTTCCCTTTTTCTTAGTAGCTTTTGTTTTTTATGTAAGCATAAGGTATGCCAAATGTTATATGTTAAAAATTAAATACATCTAATTTTTTCTTCCCAGTCTAAAGAACTCCAAATAAAAAAGCAGTTTCAGGACACCTGCAAAATCCAAACCAGACAGTACAAAGCATTAAGAAATCACCTACTGGAGACTACACCAAAGAGTGAGCACAAAGCTGTTCTGAAACGGCTCAAGGAGGAGCAGACCCGGAAGTTAGCCATCTTGGCTGAGCAGTATGACCACAGCATTAATGAAATGCTATCCACACAAGCCGTGAGTTTGTTTTATTGAGACAAAACAATTTAGTGCCCCCATCCTTCTACACCTGATTAAAATACTAGTTGGAAGTGATAGCTCTCCTGCAGTTTGGGCTCTCAGCATTACGTGGAAGCAGGTATGATATATATAGAATTTTCATTGATCTTTTTAGACACAAAGTTCTAAAGAGGCTTTTTGCCAGCACCTCTCAGGTCCTTAGTACATATTCCAAAAGCTCATCAGTATTAGAGCAGCAGAACCCTGGCCGGTGTGGCGTGGTTGGAACATTGTCCCATACACCAGTAGGTGGCGGGCTCGATTCTTACTCAGTAACATATCCAGATTGTAGTTTTGATCCCCAGTTGGAGTACGTATAAGAGGCAATTGACCTGTCTTTCACTTTCACATTGATGTTTCTTTCTCTCTCTCTCTTCCTCTCTATAAAAAAATCAATAAAATTAAAAAACTAAAAAAGATTAGAGCAGCAACTTTGCTAAGCAGTGGGCACAAAGTAGTACTATGTTGCCCAGCCAGTATGGTTCAGTGGTTGAGCATTGACCCATGCACCAGGAGGTCATTGGTCCGATTCCTGGTCTGGGCACATTTCCATATTGGAATCCAAATGGTCACATTTGAATGCATCTATAATAATAAAAGCATAATATGTTAATTAGACCGGACAACCCAACGACCTTCCGGACATCATTCGGATAAAGCACGGCGGTAGGGACCAAGGCAGAGGTGGTTAGGGGTGATCAGGCAGGCAAACGGTTAGGAGCTAGCAGTCCCAGTTGAGAGAGGTATGTCTGACTGCCATTTTAGGCTCAATTTCGCAGGAGCCCCTGAGGGATTGGGCCTAAACCGGCAGTTGGATGTCCCCCAAAGGGTCCCAGATTGCAAGAGATGCAGGCCCAGCTGAGGGACCTCCCCACCCTGTGCACAAGTTTTGTGCACTGGGCCTCTAGTATAAAATATTTCCTATATAAGTTTTGTAAACTTTTCTTAAAGGGCCAGATAGTAGATATTTTAGGCTTTGTGGGCCAGAAGGCAAGATTGAGGATATTGTGTGGATACTTAAATAGCCATTTAAAATGTAATCATTTCAGTCCTGCTAGTATGGCTCAGTGGTTGAGTGTTAACCCAGGAACCAGGAGTTCTTGGTTCAGTTCCCATTTAGGGCATATGCCTATATTGTGGGCTTGATCTCCAATAGGGGGCGTGCAGGAGGCAGCTGATCAATGATTCTCTCTCATCATTGATGTTTCTCTCTCCCTCTCCCTTCCTCTTTGAAATCAATAAAAATTTATTTAAAAAGGAAAAAATGTAACCATTTCAAAATGTAAATTAGTGGACTATTTTAAGTCCACCATTCTTAATTAGTGGACTATTTAAGCACACATGCAGTTTGGCTCATAGGTTATAGTTGGCTGGTCCCTGTTCTGTAGTTATTTCCATTTGAGATAAGAAATTCAGTCTTCTATTATCTAACCAGAGTCTAAATTTTTCTTTAAGAAAAATATGCTTATTTAGGATTCCTCCAAAATGGTTTATGACAGCTTTATCTTCATAATGCCATCATTAGTTACTGTACCTTTCTTTTTCAGAGATGTTTACTCTAAAATAGAAGAGAGGACAATTATTTATCTACAAAAGAGTAGTCTGTTTTCTCTGAGACTCCTTCTTTCCTTAAGTCATAAATAGATAGCTCACAGTAAGATACATGTTTTCTTTCCCTCTTTTAGCTGCGTTTAGATGAAGCACAGGAAGCAGAGTGCCAGGTTTTGAAGATGCAGCTGCAACAGGAACTGGAGCTGTTGAATGCATATCAGAGCAAAATCAAGATGCAAGCTGAGGCACAACACGATCGAGAGCTTCGCGAGCTTGAACAACGGGTCTCCCTACGAAGGGCACTATTAGAACAAAAGGTATATGCTTTCCTCAGAAACATTTTATAAAGATATTTTCACAAAACCATATTTTCTTAATTCTAGTTTTGGTAGTGTTTTTCTTTTTATTTAAAATATTTACTCAAAATTTGTGCAATGGGGGCGGGGGGAGTCCCTCAGCCTGGCCTGCACCCTCTCACAGTCTGGGAGCCCTTGGGAGTGTCCGATTGATGGCTTAGGCCCACTCCCCTTAGCCATCAGTAAGATATCCTTAGCGCTGCTGTGGAGGTGGGAGAGGCTCCTTGGCTCCGCTGTTGCACTCCCCCGCCATGAGCCCGGCTTCTGACTGAGCAGCACTCCCCCTGAGGGTGCACACTGACCACCAGGGTGCAGCTCCTGCGTTTTGTGTCTGCCCCCTGGTGGTCAGTGTGCATCACAGTGACCGTTGGTTCTGCCCTTCGGTCAATTTACATATTAGCCTTTTATTATATATGATGAGTTCTAAACGTTAAGGGACACCCTAACTGGTTTGGCTCAGTGGATAGAGTGTCAGCCTGTGGACTAAAGGGTCCCAGGTTCAATTCCATCAAGGGCACGTACCTGGTAAGGAATGTGCAAGAGGCAGCCGATCACTGATATTCTCATCATTGATGTTTCTATCTCTCTCTCCCTCCCCCTTCCTCTCGGAAATCAATAAAAACATATTTAAAGAAAAATAAGTAATTTGGAGGTACTAAACATCAAGGAGCCTATAGTTAATTAGTAATTGCTAGAAGAATTGTATGGGTTATGTGAAGACAGTTAAATTTGAGAGAGTAGCTATGGTTCTATGTTCTTCACTTTATTTTAACATTTATTGATTTATTTTTGTTACTCCTCACCTGAGGAAATTTTACCATTGATTTTTTTTTAGAGAAAGTGGAAAGGAGGGGGAATCAGATAGAGAACATCAATATGAGAGAGACACATCAATTGGTTGCCTACCACACACACTTTGACCAGGTCCAGGGATCAAGCCTGCAACTGAGGCACGTTCCCTTGGCCAGGATTGAACCCAGGACCCTTCAATCCAAGGGCCAACGCTCTATCCACTGAGCCAAACCAGATAGGGCTCTCACTTCTTTTTTGTACTTAAGAAGGTTGGAGAAAAACTTGAATAGTGAAGAAAAAGAACCTACAATTGCCTGGGAGAGGCAGGGACAAATGTTTAGGAATATTTACTTTTCTCATACATTCTGGGCCTAGATACAGACAGAAAGTAAAACCAATTCCAGGCAGGTGAAAACTCAAACTGAAAATGTTACTTCCACATGTACTTTTATTTATTTTTTTACTTCTTCTTTGTCAGATATATTAGAGAATAGCAGTAGAAACACAGTAAGGTATGTAGGCTGAGTGTATATGTGTTTTGGGGAAAGGGTGATGGGCAGAAGATTTTGATGATAAAGAGAGGAAAGATAATGTGTTGTAAGAAGTAGTAGAATATCAGCTGTACCCATGATTCAGAACTATGTTCCAGAATTCCTGAGCCATAATCCCAATAGCTGATATAGTTTTAGGTCCATTAAATTAATATTTGCCTAATGGTTTTGCCTGTTAAAAGTTGTCATTATTTCTGGACCATTGGCTCATAGATTTTCCTCTGTTTTGTGCAATTCTTGTGATAAAAATAGAATGCCTTAAGAAAACCACCTAAATAAGATGGCATAGCTATCTTTACTGGCTTCTTGAAAGGTACTTGCTTCTAAAAATTTTCTCAATTATGTTTCTCATTCAAAATGGAAAGATAGAAACATGAAAATTTTGAGAAAAATCTAATTTGTCTCATCTACATATTTCATAAATGTAATTCCAACTTTTATATTTAAAATTAAATCCAAAATTCTATCTTTTACGGTTCAAAATTATCGCTGAGAGGGAAATTCCTTAAGGTATTCAGATATAGTGATGTAATAAATGTTGGTACTGCCGAAAGGTCCCAGGTTCAGTTCCGGTCAAGGGCATGTACATTGGTTGCGGGCACATCCCCAGTAGGGGGTGTGCAGGAGGCAGCTGGTTGATGTTTCTCTCTCATCGACATTTCTAACTATCTCTCTCCCTTCCTCTCTGTAAAAAAATCAATAAAATAAATTTAAAAAAAAAAAAAAAAAATAAGAAGTAGGATTAAAAAAAAAATGTTGGTACTATTAAAGTACATATATTTGTATCTTTAGCTCCACCTAGTGGTTCAGAGTTAAACAGTGCTATTAATCATTTCAATATATGAACCAAAGCCTACATATGTTCCTAGTAAAATGTGAGCATAAAACTGATACCTTTTAATGTGGCATTCTAATGTATCATTAATGCATTTTGGAACGTAATTTGGAAGTACATATTGAACTTTGGAAATGTTAAATACTTAAGACTGAGAATTCCAAGGAAAAGAAATCCAAAATATAGTGGGAAATTAATGCATAAGTATGGTGATTATAGCATATTTTATATGTTTAATAGCCATTGATGATAATTGCGTTGATTTATTATTTTAATATGTTATTGCCTTTGCTTTTAAGAACTTGATTTTATGCATTTTATTTTTAAATTATTTATTTATTTATTTTAAATATATTTTATTGATTTTTTACAGAGAGGAAGAGAGAGGGATAGAGAGTTAGAAACATCCATGAGAGAGAATCATCATCGATCAGCTGCCTCTTGCACACCCCCCTACCAGAGATGTGCCCACAACCAAGGTACATGGCCTTGACCGGAATCGAACCTGGGACCCTTCAGTCCGCAGGCCGACACTCTATCCACTGAGCCAAACCTGTTTCGGCTATTTATTTATTTTTAATCCTCACCTGAGGATATTTTTATTCATTTCCAGAGAGAGTAGAAGGGAGGGAGAAAGGAAAGAAAAACATCAGCATGAGAGAAACACTTTGGTTGGCTACTTCCCACATGTACCCCCTACCCGGGCTGGGAACCTGCAACTGAGTTATATGCCCTTGGCCAGGAGTCAAACCTAAGACCTTTTGGTCTGCGGGCTAACACTAACCACTGAGAAAAATCAGCCAGAGCTTGATTTTACATATTTCAGAAATATAAATTATATATGATTGCTACATCTCTTTTATTTTTATTTTTTTTTTAAGATTTCTATTTTATAGCTGAGTGGCATTCATTGTATAAATGTGCCACAGCTGCCTTCTTTTTTCTTTTTAAAATATTTTTATATTATTAATTCCAGAGAGAAGAAGGGAGAGAGAGAGATAGAAACATCGGTGATAAAGGAGTATCATTGATCGACTGTCCTGCACGCCCCCTACTAGGGATCGAGCCCTCAACCAGGGCATGTGCCCTGACCGGGAATCAAACTGATCTCCTGGTTCAAAGGTTGACACTCAACCTCTGAGCACACCGGGTGGGCTGATTTTTAAATGTACATCCATAAAATAACAAAAGTGAATTTCTTTATGATTCACTTAAAAACTGAATAATTATTGCTCCCTTAGTTTTTAAATTTTTAAATCAGCTTTTTTTTTTTGCTTCCTTCCTCCAACTCCTAACAGATTGAAGAAGAGATGTTGGCTTTGCAGAATGAACGCACAGAACGAATACGAAGCCTGCTGGAGCGTCAAGCCAGAGAAATTGAAGCTTTTGACTCTGAAAGTATGAGACTGGGTTTTAGTAACATGGTCCTTTCTAATCTCTCCCCTGAGGCATTCAGCCACAGCTACCCAGGAGCTTCTGGTTGGTCTCACAACCCTACTGGGGGTCCAGGACCTCACTGGGGTCATCCCATGGGTGGCCCACCACAAGCTTGGGGCCATCCAATGCAAGGTGGACCTCAGCCATGGGGTCACCCCTCAGGGCCAATGCAAGGGGTGCCCCGAGGTAGCAGTATGGGGGTCCGCAATAGCCCTCAGGCTCTGAGGCGGACAGCTTCTGGGGGACGGACGGAGCAGGGCATGAGCAGAAGCACGAGTGTCACCTCACAGATCTCCAATGGGTCACATCTGTCTTATACATAACTTAATAGTTGAAAGTGGCAATTCTGCTGGAGCTGTCTGCCAAAAGAAACTGCCTACAGATATCGTCACTGCAGCCTCCTCACTTGGGTACTATAGTGTGGAAGCTGAATGCATATGGTATATTTTATTCATTTTTAAAGCGTTCTGTTTTGTGTTTACTAATTTGGATGTCATAGTATTTGGCTGCCAGGTTTTGTTTTTTTGTTTTTAACTTTTGGAGAAATTTAAAAAGAGGAATTGATATGTATGTGTGAGAGTGTGTGCGTGCGCATGCACACACACTCACACACACATCGTGTGTGGTAAAAATTGGCTAGATAGGGGGTATTTTTTGAAGACTGCAAATATATAATACAGCAAAATGGCTTAAGTCATCACTTTCGGGCTACTGTATCCTAAGAAGTTTGTGAGAAGATCAAAGCCTTTCTCCATACCCCACATTCTAATGAACCACTCACAGCAGGCAGCATATGCTAAAACAAGTTATTATGGAAGCACATTTGTATCCCCTCACCAGTATATTTTCTTTATTACATTGATCCGACTTCTCAGCCTCATTTGGAGTAAAAAAGTGGAAAGCCATGAACACTGAAGGGTTGCATTGACTTTTTCAGAGTGTAGAAAACAAATGAGTTCTTTTTCTGAATGCTGCATAGGCTTGTCAGTGATTTTTCCTCCCATTCATTTGTGCCTTCTTTGTGGCATGGTGAGATGGAGGTGCATCACAAGTTGTGTGGGAATTTCATCCAACAAACCTGTGAGCCTTCAAAGGGAAAGACCAGAAGGGTGAGAGAGGTCCCTGAAAGTTCATATAATAGGTGTGTTCAGCAGCAGAGTGAGAAGATGAAGCCTATATATCCTGATGTTTTGTTGCTCATACTGTGATATTTCATCCTAGCTAAGCTCTGTAACTCCCAAAACCCCAAACAGTACTTTTTACTTTGTTTGTTCAAAAACAAAGACGTATAGCCAATACACATCAAATGCCTGAGGTATTTGAATAATGCCATATTTGCAAACTGCCACCTTTTGGAATTCTCATCACACTACATAGACATTAATTTGATTACCCCCTTTTGGCTTATGGGATTTCCTGTTTACAAGTAGGATAGCCAATTATTTAAAGTTTAGTTGCCATAGTGAACCAGGAGTCACTGAGCCAATGACTTTACCAGCTGCTGACTAACCCTCACTACCACTGTAGATTTTGCTGCATATGCAGGTCCTCTTTTTTCTTTTTCTTTTTTTTCTTTTTAATTACTGTTTTTGTTGCTGCAATACCTTATAAACTTGTAGTTCCTTGAGACTTAGTGACCATTTGACATCATGTTAACATCATACAATAGGAAACCACTTCCTGAAGTCTCTAGCCTCTGCTAAATTACTACTGAAAAGGAACTAGCAGGTTTGGCAAATTAAGAAAAAAAGAAAAGTAAAATAAGTTATAGTGGTCAGGGAATCTCTAAACAAAAGCTAACCTTTTTTTTCCAGAGAGGGGCGTGTTTTGTTTGTTTGTTTTGTTTTTCAATGAAGGATCAACCCAGTGCTGAAAGTCAGATGTTACTTGGTATTCCATTGCCAGTGTGGAAATTTAGTTGAAGATGGATAGGGAGCTGTATTACTTGAAGAAAAAAAAATTTTCTTTCCAGTGACATATCAGAATTTCTACAAGCTATTGTTCTGCCTCCTCCCCAGTTGTCTTGAAGAACCCTTGCTGCTAACTCTGGGTCCTGCTTTTCATATAATCAGAGTTTCCAGTCCCTCTCAATGATACTTTTTACCCAGGCCAGACTGATGACCAAATGTAATCTGTCACTTTTGAAATCTTGGGTTTTTTTCAATGTAAGTCTTCCCCAAGTATGTCAGTCCAGTCTCCATGGATCATCCCCTTTAGGAGTTTCTGGGATCCGCTAAAGGTAACTGGAAGAAAAATTAATAGTTTAATGTAAATGTTTTAAAAGCCAGTATCACAGTAGAATTCACACAATTTTAGGCAGTGTTTCAGGTAGCACTCTGATACATCATCCTCTTGGCCATACTCAAGATCTCTAGCTGTTAGATGAACAGGACATGTACTTGTCATATCTAATGAAAGGGGCTTTTAATTTTCTCCATATATTTTTTGCATTCAAGTATATAATATTTCAAACAAGTTGAAATATCTACTAATTTGGAGGAAAATTATAGAATTAGAATTAATAAAATGCCCAAAAAATAAAATGGAATTTGATACTTAAAAGAAAATTTCTTATTAGCCCCTCTGTACTACTAGAGGTATAGAATAGAGAAGCAGATTCATTTTGCACACAAAACTCTAAAATCCACACTACTTCAGTGACTTAGTATTAGTCAAATTGAATTACTGAGTTTGTGTGCAGAGCATTTGTACTTGTAAACTTGTGATTGCTGACTCCAAAGGTCTACCCAATCGGGCTTTGTATCTGATGTATCTGTGGGGCAATCAGTTTTAACATGTAGGTCATGAGTATACCTGGATTATTCCATTACATTAATTTTATTTTAAAAATATATAGTTTGCAAAAATTCTAATTGGTGTGTTTATAAGATCTAACTTCTGAGGAATCTCATACATGGTAGGAATCAATAAAGAGTGAACTTTGTAGCAGGAAACTCTGAAAAGTTTAGAGATTCTTAAGAAAGAAACAAGCACTTTCTAAATCAGTGTGCAAATGTCAATATTTGATCAAATTACTACCTCCTCCAAGAGTTGGTGTTCACTCAGTACCTATGTGTTTAAGAAAGAAAGAAAAAAAGTGGGAAATTTGTCCAGCATATCAGAAAGTTATTAATGCTATTTCTGGTATCCAGAGCTTGGCAGTAAAAGTTTTCTTATGTTCACTGTATCTCCCTTTAGTTAACATTTTCAAAAGCAAAACCTCATATTTTTATAAATATTATTTCTAATTGGGTTCCCTTCCTTTTGCACATATTTTTCTCCTCTTATTAAAGTCAGATCTAATCCCAAATTATAGTTTCTTCATTATATAGTAATGTTAGCTGGAAAATGTTTATATTATTTTTATTCAGAGCTGCCCTTTTTTTAGTCAATTCTGTCCCTAGGGATGAATAGTTCTACATTTAATGCCATCCCCTTAGGTATAATATGCTTGATTACTATAGGCCAAGGATTTATAGGGAAATTTAACTATTTAGTATAGTCATGATTTTCAACTGCCCAGACACCAGGTAAACACTATTTAGTACACTAGTTGTCCTTGATCTTCCCTCCTACACCCACCTAATTTTCCTCATTCTCCTTTTGAAAATCAAAAACTCTATGAGTGTCTTTTTCAGACCGTAAGACAGACTTTAGTAACTTTCTACTTTCTTTAAGTGCTAAATGTCTGGCATTTTAAACTTTTATAAAATACATTGTGTTGGACACTGGAATAATACTGTTTATTTTCACCTGTGAAAAATGACTTTATTGTACTTGAAACACCTCCTTTGCATTTCTCCATTTGTGCCATTCACTAGTGGAAATAAATTGTATTATACCATGATCTACTGGCTTTTTAAGACTGTGTTAAATATGCACATTTTTGGTATAGCTATTATCATTTGTATGTATATATTGTATATACATATGAGTGTCTATGTGTGTTGTATAGGTAGATGGATGTAACTCATACTGTACATTTCCATCAGGGCACTTAAGGTTCTGTTACTTTGTTTTGTTATTTCAAATCCTCAGTTAAGGCAAGAATGCATGTGTTTAAGAATGAGTACTCTGGGGTGATATTTATGAGAAGGTGATCATTAGCTGCAGTCTTTTCTCTTTTAATCCCCTTAACATTTGTGTGAGTGGAAAGAAAGTTAAGTAAAATGTGGAACCATACGTTGCACAGACAGTAAAATAGTGCTGGAGCCATTTAGTGTTTCTATGAGTTTGTGTCACGAGGCAGTAAAGTCAGGTGATGCAGAGAGAAGTGAACCATGGAAATTAAAAACACTGTTGGTGATTCCTCTGCAAAGATGATAGAAGAACCAATAAATCACACGATCTTTATGTGCAGTCTACATATTTCTTAGTAGTGATGTCATTTATCCCCTTTTTACTTCACTAATATCAAAAATAATAAATTTTGCTAAGGACCAAAACAGCCAAAAAAAGAATTACTGCTGAAGCATCTAAGTTTCTCCTAAACCCGTGGTTGGCAAACTGTAGCTTGCGAGCCACATGCGGCTCTTTGGTCCCTTGAGTGTGGCTCTTCCACAAAATACCACAGCCTGGGCGAGTCTATTTTGAAGAAGTGGTGTTAGAAGAAGCTTAAGTTTAAAAAACTTCGCTCTCAAAAAATAAATTTCAATCGTAGTACTGTTGATATTTGGCTCTCTTGACTAATGAGTTTGCCGACCACTGTACTAAACTATAAAATCAGTAAGAAATGGCCATGGGGAGAGACGGATATAGCATTGGCATGGGGCTTTCTCCCTTTAGCTGCCTCTTCTTACTTGCCCATAGTAAGTTCTTTGTGTACCTTCCATCCCTTCTGAGCCACTATTCAAGCAGAGATTTGGCTCAACACAGCAACCCTTTCCTAGGAGGTGTATGGTCTTTTGTTTTGTCCCATGCTCACAATGTGAAGTGTCTAGTGTGTGTTCAAGTCAGAAAATAATACATTTAAGGTATATAAGTAGGAATCTTCTATAATGATGGAAGAAGAGGTTTTTATTTCTTAGATAGAAAACTGCCTTCTCTAAGGAACAAAGCCAAAACTTGGACTGTCATCTTTGAGCTGCTTATCAAAATACAGACCATCATTAAAGACAATTTCTCTATTTTGTTTTCCCTCATCTAATATGATAGATAGTGCCCCAACCAGGTTCTAGCATTGCCTTTGAAAAGGCATTCACTCTTAGTTGTTAACTGGAAAATTTCCATCCTCAGATCCTTAAAAGAAGGAAGAGTGTGCTGTACACTTAGCAGACTTGCCTCTTGTATGCAAGGACTACTGATTGAAGTCTATTTTGCTGTGTGTCTGGTTATGTTGTCTGCACTTTTATGAAATCACTACAGTAGACTACATTGGAAATGACTATTTGTAAAGAAGTAAGTTTTATTAATCACTGTCTAGAAAAAGAAAGTGAAGCTGAGAACTCTTCCTTTATTGTATATTTATATTTTCTACTGAACTCTGGGAGCCCTATTGAAAGTCACATTGACTAATTTTTCCCTAGTTTATATTCAGACTTCCAAACGTTCACTAAAACAAGGGAAGGGAGAACCCACTTGGCCTATTGGTAGCCTTCAGAGCATAAGAAATATATAAATTAGTATGCACCTTATCTGCCTGTTGTGGGTTTTTAAAACTTGCACTTCCCACCTACCCCCCAAAATAGATGTTCTTTAAAGAAGAAAAAAAATGAAGAGATTACCTCTGGGGAGCCATTTACTATGTCACCATCACTGTTAACTGTTTCCCAGCTATCCTAACTGAAGTTTCAGAGATTTTTTTTGTGTGTGAATGCATCTGTGTTGGATTTATTTTGTTTTTAAATATCAAGAGATTCTCCTTTAAGTAGAGAAAAAGGTTAATACTCTCTGAAACCAGATACCCATTGGATATACTAATCTGAACATCTGTAGGTAGTTTGCCATGAAAAAGTGGAGAGAAGATGAGACTTCTGAATGAATGAAAAGGGTATCTTGATGCCCAAGAATTCCCCCCAAAGTACGGGTAATTCAACCTGCACAGTTTCCTTTTCACTCATAGTTTGTAGTAATTGTGAGTAAAAAATCATGTAATTATCTGTAAATATGTAGCTAACAAATTGACCTAGTTTCTGTATTATTTTGTTTTTGTACTAAAGTTTATAAGTCTGTGCCAGCTAGAGAGAAGTTGCTGTGATTGCCGATTGTGGTCCTAGCATCTAACCCTGAAACCATCCTAGGTGGCGTTTTTAGAATTAATGCTTAAATGTTGTTAAACAGGGGGAAATGAAGCTTAATCATTGGTCAGGTTTAAAATCTTTTGAAGTGAAGTCATTTTATTTAATATAATGATTACATGTCCTCAATCATGAATGAGGTAGGGAGCCTCCCTCCCCCAGTGGCCATGTTTACAGAAGTGTGTATTTGTCTATAAAGTGGAGAGTTTTAATGTTTATGTAAATTATGCAGGTAACATTATTGGGCTCTTTAGGCTGAATTTTCAAATGAAATGAACTATTCTTATTGCTGGCACATTGATCCCACTGCTGGAGCATTTTTCCTCTTTCCAGAATTAATTTGTTCCTATGCCATCACCCCCACTTACCCTTCCTCTGATATACCTGTAGTCCTAGCCCTAAGGTATTTAAGTCTGGAAACCATAGGCAAGGAAAATGCATTTTAAAAAAATCCATGAACCCTCATTTGTATGCTTTCAGCACTCATATGTTTCTATGGCAACTCCGAGGTCAGTGGAGTTTAGAAATGAGATACGTGTATACTCTTTGCTTTTGCATGGCTTGCTTTAGCATCAGAGGCACATTAGGGTCACTTGAAAGCATGAAGACCAGTTGTATGAGAACAGGTTTCTCTTAGTGGCACATTTTGCTTTTTCTGAGCCCTCAAATACATGCCTCAGCATGAACATTGTTGTTACTATAAATTGTACATGGTCATGGAGTGAGTTGTGTGATTTAAAAAGATGTTACTGCTTAATGTTTGCAGATTCTGGCTGAACCATGTGACTATTTGATACATATCAGACAAATGAAGGAAGGGGTTTTGGAACCCTTCTCACCCCTTTTTGTCATAGACAGGTATATTCGGTTTCATGCGTTGGCTGCCCCAGGTGCATTGCTGGACAGCTTTTTTGGTGCCCATTCCACATGTGCTTCCTTGCATTTCATATTATCACTGAAACCACCACCCCTTCTCCTCGTAGCATTTTATGTTACACATTTTATTCCACATTAAATGGGAATTGTGCCTACTAAAAGTGCCCCTGTAATTAATGACATACACATGCCCTAAAATCTAAGCCAGAGTCACAAGGTAGGAATTTAAAAAAAAAAAAAAAAAAAAAAGTCCACTTGAGGCCAGTAATTTATCTGACAAAGTATTTTACCACATTATCTTGACACTTGATATATGAGCCTATTAGGAGTGGCAGGTGGTTTCATAGAGCAAAATCCGAGTGGAGAGGGATATGTAAGGTATCTATTAAGAGATAATTTTGTTCTTATTTTACCTTCCCTTTTATGCTCCTTCTCTACGAGGTTACAAAAAGTTAATTCTCCAAATTTATTTTATTTTTTATCTTTTAGGGAAATTTTTATAAAATCAATCGTCTGATGTAAATAACATTTTAAAATACAGTGCACAATTTCCCCAGACTATACCAAGCTGATAATTTGTAAATGCTTTAGAGTTTTTTAAATTAACACTTGTGTTGCTAAATCCTATTTATGTAAGTCTGCTAAAATTTTTAACCCATTTGAAATTTCAGGCATTTAAATAATGGATGGGTTACTCTGAGCAATTTAGCTTTCAGAACCCCCTTGTTTTAGTATATGAAAAAGATCGCCTAATGCGCATTAATGAGGTTGGAGAGACTATGAGAAATATGTATAGTGTATATTTTAAAACAGCTTTGCTTGTATTGTGAAGATTTAAAAACAAACTTGAGATTTTTAACATAACTATTAACACAGTTTTAACATAAGTTATCCCACTGGGTTTAAGAGCATCTTGAATGTATAATCCTTTTTGTAACCCAGGTTGGTTTCTGCTTTTACCATTCATCCAAACATATTATTTATGTTTTTAATTTTATATACTCATTTCCCTTTGTTTTCCTCAACCAGCATGATTTTTTTGCACATGTATTGTAGAAATTTTTAAGAAGAAAAATTAATACATCATTTTCTCTGGGTTTTCTTCACTTCTCTCTTCCTTTCTACTAACCCCTCATCTTAAAGGCCATATCGCTCCATTTGCATTGTTTGTGCAAATGCCAGGGTTGGTTTTTATTTTTATTTTTGCTATTTACCTAAAATAAAATAAAAAAGAAAAATGCTTCAGTCAATTGCTTTTTTATTTAAAAAATAAAAAAGAAAAGAAAAAAAGCTGTAACCTTATCATTTCTGAGTAGACCATTGAGAGATGAATGCACACCTGTAATAGCCTAGGACCAGCTTTGGAGGCTAAAGGGAATAATTTAAGCAAGAGGTTTTTTTCTAGAAGTGGTATATATTATTTACAATCTCTTTTAGTTATTCCCACAAGTCAGGGGTCCAGATAAAATGAGGGTTAACAGCAAACTGATGTTATCATTGAGGTTCATCAATGAATTTGTACATTTCTAGTTCCCTTTGGTGAAGGGAAAAACGATGATTTTGCAAGACCTAGATTTTGGCTTGGTTTCTTGCCTCCTTTTTTGGCAGCCTACATCTTCTCATCTCCTGAAGCCCTTGAGCCTGTAGGGTTTTTGTAGTGGACGAAGGACTCATGGTCTTCTAAAACTGGGACTGATTTTTGTGTGTGCGAGAGAGATTAGCATCTTGAAAGTGA